ATGACCTCCCAGGTATGACGATATCATTTATTTTCTTAGGAGCTTTATCAGTGAAGTCATCTTGGAGTTATGGAAAGATCAGTACCCAGTTAAGAGATTCTTAGATTAAAAATCCAAAAGAAGGTAACTTCTATAAAGATTTAAGCAAAATGAACTATTGAAACAGACGGGGGTTTCTAAATGGAAGGTCGGCTAGTGATGTCGGGTTATCCACAACTTAAGAAGGATTTATCGGATGAGGCATATCGTACATCTAGACACATCGAAAATGTACAAAGAGTTGAAAGGACGTGTTAACGGAGCGGCGTGCGTAAGGAGATTTTGAAATATGTAGCTAAATGTTCTACCTTCTAATAAGTGAAGGCAGTACGTCAGAGACCAGCTAGAACCCTACAGCCTTTACCCATTCCAGAGTGAAAGTGGGAAGATATATCTATGAATTTCATTAAAGGGATGCTAAGATCAAAGAAAGAAAATGAATCTTTTGGATGATAATTGATTCGTTGATGTAGTCGGTGAAATTTTGCTGTGAAAACGACTTGTACAGTGGAGATGTATGCAAAGATATTTGTCCAGGAAATAGTATGATTTCATGAAAGTTGGTTTTGTCATGGAATTCATTATATCTTCAGTCGATTACAATAAATTCAAAAGAAATAGCCTTTTTATAAGACTTCTTTTACACAACAAAATGAAAATTATAACTCTTGGGAAACAAACGCAGGATCGTTGTTTGGATCACTGCTTGCGTGGGATCTTTGCCTGTGCCGGGGGTGCGTTAGCCCGTGGACCACCAAATCACAGATTCTGATCGAATCGTGAGGGGTTTATGATTCTGACTTCGTTTATCGAAGTGAGAACTTGAAACGATATCTTATCAAGGTAAGATAGTCGTTCTTCTTGAAATCAAGTCAAAGCCTGAATATCAAGGAGTTGCCAGAAGCTCGAGTACTCTGCCCTCTCTGCTCTGGAATTAGCCTATGGATGCTCTCTGATCAGCCTTGGATCTCTGCTGGAAACCCCCCTCAAAGAAATCACCTCGGGGGTATTTATAACCTCTGTATGAACAGTGCTCGCGAGACAGCGTTTGCTGTCTCGGCGGGCGAGACAGCGTTTGCTGTCTCGCTGGCCGAGACAGTGTTTGCTGTCTCGCCCAGCGAGACAGTAAATTTGCTGTCTCGCCCAGCGAGACAGTAAATACTGTCTGACAGTTTCTCGCTGTAACTGCCTTCCCACGTTTTAAACTCCGTTATTCTGGTGGTTATCAACGTGATTCTCGCCCACGATACTCCCCACGTTCTTGAACAGTTGGTGGCCACGTATCGGCGGTTATAAAGGCGAGACAGTAAATTCTGTCTCGCACGGCGAGACAGTAAATACTGTCTCGCGGGGGCGAGACAGTGAAAACTGTCTCGCGTGGGCGAGACAGTAAAAGTCTGTCTCGCCAGGCGAGACAGTAAAGACTGTCTTGCCTGCGAGACAGTCTATACTTGTGTTCTTTTTTTTGACATTTTGGATGACTTCCTTTTGAACTGTGTTTGGATACCTTTGAGCATTTTTTGACGCCTACAGTGAATAGTCCCACATTAGAAAATAAGATGAATAGTATAGGGTATATAATGGTTCTCTCCTTATTAGGCTTTGAATAGTATTTTGGGTTTTGTGGGCTTTGCATATCTACCTCACACACGCGCGCGCACGCACGCATGCCATGCCTCGCTCGCCCTCACGTCGCACCGCACATATTTTTGCTTCTCAAGCTTTTATTTTTGCACGTTTTACACGTTTGTAACGGCTGCATGCGGGTAACGGAAGCAAGATTTGTGCGTAACGGTCCCTTGGATTCAGTGGGGGTTACACCTCTCCTCACCTATATAAGCAAGCTTGGAGCTCATTCAGAGACACACCAACAAAGAGAAGAACTTCTAAGCTCTCTCTTCTTTCTCTACTCTCATTTCTCCAAGAAATTTTGGCTACATATTTATATTTATATTTTGGGCAACCGTTTTCGTCTGAGCATAAGCTCTGTGACTCACGCCCGAGTGCAGAGGCCGATTGATTCCGGGGGTTTTTACAGCTAGGGGAGATGGGACAAATTGCGCCAGGGCGATAGGCGGGTCCTTAATCTTATAGGGCAGTGACATCACGACTGCTCCCGACCAGGCCTGAATTTTCTAACTCTTTAATTTGGATTTTATATTATTATATTCCTATTTTGACAGAAAACCAACAGAGTGTCTCGCCTATGGGAAGTTGTAGAGATCTTCTCTAGCTTTCCAACGCATCTTGGATCACCTAATTCCGAGATCGGACGATGAAGTTAGAGCCAAAATAACCGAGACAACACAAACTGTCTCGGAGGTGTGCGACAGTCACGAAAATATGAGATAGTTACGACTATCTCACACCAAATCTGAAGAAGGTGAAAAGACAAAAGTTGTATATCTCTTCGTCATCTTTCCAACGCATCTTGGATCATCTGATTCCGAGATCGGACGAGGAAGTTAGAGCCAAAATACCCGAGACAACACAAACTGTCTCGGAGGTGCATGATAGTCGCAGCAATGCGCGACAGTTACGATAGTCTCGCACCAAATATGAAGAAGGTCAAAAGAAAAAAGTTATAGATCTCTTCGTCAGCTTCCTAATGCATCTTGGATCACCTCATTCTGAGATCAGACGAGGAAGTTAGAGCTAAAATACCAAAGACAACACAAACTGTCTCGGAGGTGCGCGATAGTCACGGCAATGCACGACAATTATGAAGGTCTCACACCAAATCTGAAGAAGGTCGAAAGAAAAAAGTTGTATATCTCTTCGTCATCTTTCCAATGCATCTTGGATCACCTGATTCCGAGATCGGATGAGGAAGTTAGTGCCAAAATACCCGAGATAACACAAACTGTCTCAGAGGTGCAGGACAGTCGCGGCAATGCACGACAGTTACAACTGTCTCGCATCAAATCTGAAGAAGGTCAAAAGATAAAAGTTGTATATCTCTTCGTCAGCTTTCTAACGCATCTTGGATCACCTGATTATGAGATCAGACGAGGAAGTTAGAGCCAAAATACCCGAGACAGTACAAATTGTCTCGGAAGTGCGAGACAGTTGCAACTGTCTCGGAACTGCGAGACAGTTACAACTGAAAACGTATTTTTTGATAGTTTCCTTGAGTTTTGTATGGTCCACATGGCTTATTAACTGCTGGGGATCACCTATGAACGTGGGAGAAGCAGTTATAAGTAAGAATCATGCCCATAACCGCAGGAATGATGACATTTAAAAGCGGGAGAAGCGGTTACAAAAAAAAGAGGAAGGGAGCTGAGCATTTTGGAGCAGAGCAATTGGGCAGAGATTTTCAAAAGGCTTGGGCGAATTTCAAGAGTTCATCTCCTTTCAACAATTCGGAGGTTCCTTAAGATCTAAGCTTTGACTTGATCTTGAGAAGAGTGTTCATCTTACTTCGATAAGATATTCACCGAAACTATTCTTGCTTCTAAACGAAGGAAGAATCCCCAAAGCCTTCACGATTCAATCAGAATTCGTGATTCGGTGGTCCACGGGCTAACGCACCCCCGGCACATGCAAAGATCCCGCGCAAGCAGCGATCCAAACAACGATCCTGCGTTTGTTTCTAAGGAGCTTGTAATTTGATTTTTGTTGTAAAGAGTAGTTTTACAAAGTACGAAGCTCACTCTTTTATATTCATTGTAATCGATAAACAATTATAATGAATTCTACATCAGAACTTGTTCCTAACACAAACATGTGCTATAGTGTATTATTGCACGAGGATCCTAGGCTGTAGCCCGAGTTAAATTTCCGACCCCAACCAACTACAAGTTTTAGAGAATTCGAACCATGAACCATTGAGTAAATTTTACCAAATTCATTAATCCACAAAGCCATAATTAATGAAGTAAGCAAACTACGCACGCTTACAAACCAAACCTAGTAACCTAACTTAAAAGTAATCTAAACCAATATGCTGACCTAAACAAGAAAAGAATATGCTTTTGTGATTTCCCCCTGATGACTCGCTTATTACAAAAGTCCAAATAGATATAAACACTATTATGTTTGGTCTATTATTATTTTTATTTGAGCTACCACTCACATCATCAATCTCTAACTAGAAAATGATGTTCCTTCTCTATGTCTTTCTTTATTATTTCTTTATTATTAGTCTATAACATAGTTGAAATTGCATAATGAACCATTAATCAAACAAAGATTCGCACGTCGCACGGAAGCAAGAAGGACTAATTTGTAATGACTTATAAGATTCGGGGATCTAATAGCAAATTTGATATTTGCCACCCACCCCCCCAAAAAAAAACAAAAAAAAATCTCGAGACAAAAGTGAAAAAATAAATAAATCATGATCTTAACCATATCATCACATCGGTCAGCTCGAGTCCAATCCCACTCCACGTTTTGACCACCAAGCTTTGCCACCCAACTCATACTGGGTCCCACGGCCCGTCTCTGGGTGACAAACCGCGCAAATGTCCTCGTCTTTAAATTCCATTCGGCCAAATTCCTCTCTGACGGGCAATGCGGGCCTCGTTCCGCTCCTCGGTCCAACTTATCGCAGAAAATAGCGAGAAAACTTCGATTCAAGCTCCGACGAAACGCTAATCACCTAGGGGTTCGCAACTCGATGACCTCGTCGGAGTAACCTAATGGCTGTGTCCTCGGCAAAGGCGGGGCGGAGGGTCGCGGCCCGGACGTCCCCGTCACGCTGGGGTGGGGCGGAGCGATCGCCACGTGCGTCAGCCGGAGATCGCAAGTCATCGGTTGCGATCATCGAGGCCGGAGGGTGGACTGCCGGATGGCGTTGGCGGTGTGGACGAGGCGGGCGGAGAGCCGGAGGAGGCGCGAGTTGGGGAGGCTACGTGAGGAATATAGCGGCACGTGAGGCGGAGGCAGGGTGGGCGGCGGGGTGGCCGGCGGTGGTTGTCGGCTGTCGCGCGGAGAGGCGATCTAGAGGGGTGGACCCCCGCGTCGAGGCCGATTCCTCGAGAAAGCTGGACAAGGTTAAGAGATCAAGAAACGTTTGGTTATTGATTGAGGAGTTGGAGTCTCTAGAGTGGGAATTAAGTGAGTTTTAGAGGTGAGACCCTGTTTGTTGTAAGTTACGTTGTCATTTTTATTATTCTGATTACTGAAAGAAAGGCCTCAAATGGTTAAGCCACAAAAAAAAAAAGAACAATGATTTTTCATATATGGTCATTGCAGATTGCAAACTTAAAAAAAAACTTTTATTGGGATACCAGGGAATTGGAGTCTATAGAGTGGGAGTTAAGTGAGATTTAGAGTTGAGATATTACTTAGTTTAATTCATTTTGTCATCGTTTATTATTTAAATTAGCAAAGTTGACTGTTAGGAAGTTGGTAGCGCTAATTGGAAGGAAAAGGCCTTAAAATGAAAAGACACAACTTTTGTTTTGTTTTTGTTTTGGGGGTGGGGGGTGGGGGGGGGGGATTCAATGGTTTTGTTATTCACGAATAGATATTGTATTGTCGCTTTTTGTCTTTTTGGAAAAGTTTGTGGATTATTTTTTTATTTTATCTTTGGTTATTTTAGGTTGCAAACCTACCCTAATATGAGTAATTGAGTATTAATCTGTTGAGTGTTTTTGGGTTATCTCTGTGATGTATACTTTATACACTTTATATGAGTGACAGTTCTTTGTTCGATTGGTAGTGTTTTTAAGTAACATTCTCTTGATTTGGAAGCTGTGGGGTTTTTTAGAGTTGAAAGAGGTGAAAATGTCCACATCTTTTTGGTATAGTTGACATTAGTTGCCAATCTTATCCATTTGCGGACAGTAGGATACTTGTATTTTTTAGAAGTTGGTTCGACTTTGGATAGATATTGGCTGTGATTTTCAGTCTTAAATTCAGAAAACCAAACTCTTGAGCTCTCTTACCTACGATCTGCTATCCACCAATGTCAAAAACCGAGGAAGATCACATATACGTACTTAATTGATCCTGAAAGAAGTGGAGTGTTAACAGCTGAAAATAAGTGACTTGACAAGCTCATCGAGGGAACCAAACAAAGTTTGATGCTGTTTTCTATGCATATATGTACTTTTATTTTTCTCAAATTCATAGCGTACATGGAAAGGAAGAAGAAGACAATCGGTGATTGTGGTGAGAGGCATTCTTGTGATTCCTTTTCTAGGCTAACCCTTAAAAAACCCTAAAACTTGGCATTTGAAACTTATGCTCTCTTCATTCCTTCTATCCTTGTTAGATATAAAATTGTATGAAGATCATACCTAATATAGTTACTTGATTATAAAGGGAGATAATTTTGAGCATAAAATTTGATGCGTATAAATTTGATTGTTTGGGAAGCTAAGAACAACAAACAAAATTTATCAGGAATTCGACTCTAATCCGTATGTAACTTATTACTTATGTATTATGAAATTTCACTTGACCACTTGAGATGTTGGGATAGATTGCTAACTTAAGATTATCTATAACTATGGTATTTTAAGTTTGAAAAATAATGTTTAATCTATGCAATTTATCTCTTCTAGACACATAAACTCATGAGTTCATAGAAATTCTTGTTAAATTAGAAAATGTTAACCTTGAAATTTGATTTTTTTTTCAATTTTCTGATTTCCCCCTTCGTTTAGAGTGGAGACCGTATGGAAGTAGAATTTGGATAGGTCATAGTGATGTGGGCTTGAAATAGAACAAGTTCATTATAAGAAAGTAACTAGAATAAGCATGTCAGCATATCTGGAATTCTATTTATAGTTGGAATTTTCAATTTGATGACTTAGGAATTTATAGTTTCTACAGGTCACTGAACTTATAGCTTTTGGAGTCATTTAGGCTCCGTTAGGATACCATGGTGTTTTACTTCTTTTCATGGTGTTTTTGCCAAAAACAAAACACCATGCGTTTGAAAACCATGATGTTTTTAGAGCTAAATCATCCTCAAACCAAAATACAACACTTATTTCAAAACACATTTTAGTTGTTTTAAGTTTGGTGTTTTAGTTTTGAGTTTGAGAATGTGTTAATATAATATCTAACATAATATATTAAATATAATTAATATAGATTTATTATCAACATGCTTATTATATTGTACTATACTATACTATATTATAGTTAATTTAATATATTAGTAATATTTATTAAATAATATAAAAATATAATAATAAAATATCTTATATAATAATATAATAACATATTAAATACCATGGGGTTTTAGAATATGTAGATCAAGTTCATCGCAGCGGATCATCCACAATGTAGCTCAATCATGTGATTTTAGGCCGTGTCCTTAGATGATCATCTAAGGCGTCACCTTAGCAACACTTTTCCCTTATTTATATCATAAATACTAATATATTATTAAAGTACTATTAATAAACTCTAATATATTAAAAACTATATTATATTATATATTAAAATATTTATGATATATTAATTTATTAATAACATACTAGTAATAACATAATTTATTAATAATATTATATATTATATTATATGAATAATAGTATAATATTATATGAATAATAGTATAATATAATATTATATTATAATAGTATAATATTATATTAATAATAAAATAACATTATTATAAAAATATTAATATAATATACAACAATAACAAATTGATATACCAAAATAATTAAATATATAATTATTTAAAAATAATATGTAATAATATAACTCATTAAAGTACAATATAATATTATAATACATTATACAATATTATATTGCATTACATTTAATACTTACATTTAATACTTATAATACTATAATAATGTAAACTAAATATTATAACATTTTATTTACAATATATTTTATTGTAATTAATATATAATATATTAATAATATGTTTAATACTAATGTTATAATGGGTCAAACTAGTGTTGACAAAAAATACTTAACATGGTGATTTTAAAACATTTTAAGGGAAAAACACAACACCATGGTGTTTTTTTACAAAAACACAACAAGCAAAACACCATGGTATCCAAACGAAGCCAGTTTTTCCTTCAAAACAAGTTAGTAATACAAATATCAAGGTTTTACTTGACAAACAAAAGCAGTTTAAGCTAGCTTTAAGTACATATTAGCAACTTTTTTTCCTGCCCAGCCTTTTAGGAAAGTTTTTTCAGGACAAGGTGTCTGTATGAGTTGACAAGATTCAAATATGAATTAAATCATAATTTTCTAAATTTGTCTTAAAAGTGTTATAATGGAAATATTTCAACTGTAAGTTCTAGATAAATAAACACCAATAACTAGTTATTGTAGCTTCTGCTCTGTGCAGCTAAATAGTCACTTGTGCATATTATTTGTTAAATTAAGTGTTTCTGCTGTATAGATTGGACAAGGAACTTATAGCAACGTCTACAAAGCGAGGGACTCATTAACAGGAAAAATTGTGGCACTGAAGAAGGTCCGGTTTGATAACTTGGAACCTGAAAGTGTGAAATTCATGGCACGAGAAATCCTCATATTGAGACGGTTAGATCATCCCAATGTGATAAAATTAGAGGGGTTAGTCACATCAAGAATGTCTTGTAGCTTGTACTTGGTGTTTGAGTACATGGAACATGATCTTGCTGGTCTTGCAGCCAGCCCAGCAATCAAGTTCACTGAGCCTCAGGTTGAATTTAAATGTATCAAACTTTTTTTTGTTTTGGAGAAATGCAGCTTGTATTAATATTTCAAATTACGTCTTGAACAGGTCAAATGCTATATGAACCAGTTGTTATCGGGCCTTGAGCACTGTCATAATAGAGGGGTGCTGCACCGTGACATCAAGGGATCAAATCTTTTAATCGACAATAGTGGAATGCTTAAGATTGGAGATTTTGGGTTGGCTTCGTTCTTTGATCCGAACCACAAGCATCCAATGACTAGTCGGGTAGTCACACTTTGGTACCGACCCCCTGAACTTTTGTTGGGGGCCACTGATTATGGTGTTGGCGTGGATCTTTGGAGTGCAGGGTGTATTCTGGCAGAACTTTTGGCTGGAAAACCTATCATGCCTGGCCGGACTGAGGTGACTGCAAATTCTTGTTTTTTTTGCTGTGACATGGACATGATGTTTCTATTTTTAAATGTCTGTTTGCTTTCAATAAACTGTTTCTTGTTTCTTTTCTGAGTTCAGCCCATTCCGTGAAGGATTGTAGGTGGGTAGAGGAAAGTAGTATTGGCTACAGCACCGAGAATATTGTTTGTGCAGTTTTAACATCTTGTTTGAGGACTTTCTTTCGTAATACCATTTATATATGTTGTTCCTTAGGGTGTGTTTGTCAACAAAAATGGGACCAAGTTTGAACTTGGTCCTGTTTGGGATGAAATGTGTTTGTGAAAAACTGGGCCACCTAAGCCAAAAAAGGCCACTTCTATTCTTTCTTGATCCAGCTCCCCCGTGGATACAAAAAGAACCAGTTCTTCACAAAACTGGGCCAAGACTGATCCTGGCCCAGTTTTGAGAAGATTGCCAAACTGACCCTTAGCGTATATGAATTAGTTCCTAGTTTGCCCGAGAAAATTCGGCTTGATCTGATTCTGGGTGGGTCCAACTTGTGCTGATCGAGGCCTTTATCATATGCATCTAAGTTCTGCTGGATTTTTAATCTCTTACATGATTCATAGTTTTGCATATGACTTCAAATGAAAACTTAAACTCCTAGCCATTACAAAGAGGTCAAATGTAAAATTATTAGCAATTGCGTTCTCATCTTTATCAGCCTCTGCAGCCTGTGGAATCTGACTGCTTTAACTATCTTGGGCTTTAGCTTTAACCCACAGCACGAATTGTTTGAGTCAAGATCATACACATGGCCAGTTAGGCAGACCCTGTTCGAGCCCAGTTGGAGCATAACTGCTTAGGGCTTTGTTTATCCATGGCTATTCGATGGTGGTTTATGCCATCAGGCATCAGTAGTGGTTTTATTTCTCTGTGTAAGATGAATGTGGATGATTCTTTCATCTTTGCTTCTCTTGGTTCAACTTTTGCTTAGGGCTTTGTATAATCCATGGTCATTCAATGGTGGTTTATACTATCTGTAGTGGATTTATTTCTTTATTTCTGAGTAAGATGAATGTGGACGATTCATCCGTCTTTATATATGTTGGTTCAACTTCCGCTACTCATATGCATTAGATATATTTCATTTAAAATCAGCTCTTAGGATGTGACCACTTGTTGGTAAGGAAACCAACGCTGTTAGAAGACTATCTTCTGTTTGTGTAGATTGTTGCTGAATGTTTCTTTCTTGCATCAATATAAGATGGAAAGCACATACATGAATACTGCTACATATTAGCTTAGCTCTAATGAGTGTTCTTGTCTAGTAGGTTGAACAGCTGCATAAGATCTTTAAGCTATGTGGTTCTCCTTCAGAGGAGTATTGGAAGAAATCGAAGTTGCCACATGCAACAATATTTAAGCCTCAGCAGCCCTACAAGCGTTGCATAGTGGAGACATTCAAAGATTTTCCACCGTCATCATTGCCATTGATTGAAGGAGTGAAGTAAGTTTTGTGTTGTCAGAACATTTTGATCTTATTACTATTTTACATTTGTTTACTGGAATATATTTATCTTCAGGCTTGACTTTACTTCTAGTATACTTAATATATTTTTGTTAAAGTTTCATATAGGTTTCCCTTAAATTCATGTCGGGTTTGTGTTTCCATTTATATTTACACCTAATGATTATATTGCAACCAAGGCATATCCGCACCTGCTGATCTACAGTAGGTTCTGCATTACTTTAGGTGAATGCCTCCAGCTTACCTCAGTCTATGAAGCATTTGATCCCTGAACATGATTGTGACTGGCGAGGTGTGGGCTCACCATGTCATAGAGTTTCCGAGGGAATGTTGCTGAGCTTGGACTTTTGCGTCTCATAAATGCTCTTATCACCAATTTTGGGATATTTCTGGAAAGAAAAACAAGTGTCCTACGTTGGGTTGCAAATAATGTAATTATGGATGCATTTGTTATTTCTTGTTTATTCTCTTATCTTCCACTTTTATATGATGGGGCTTCCTGGTATACTTTTGTAAGAGTAGGACAACATAACCCTTTTCCGCTTCAATTTCATAAGAAATAGATTGAGTCATTTTGTAAGATATAACTTTTAAATAATTTATCCTTGTGAATGTAGTTGCATTTATTTATCACTTTTTTTAGATGTTAGTCCCTAAAATCATTAGTGTTTTGATATTAACCCCTCAAATTTTCGTATTTTGATATTAGTCCCCAAACTACCTTAATATGCTAATATTAGTCCCTCTAGTTAGTTGGTGTTAAAATGGGTGCCCCCCCTCATCCTCTTCCTTCTCCCCAAGGCCTGCTCCACTCACGATGAATCCTCTTCTCCACTGGGCCCGCTCCATCACGGCCCTCCCTGTCGCCATTGGCGTCATTGCCCTCAATAACCGCCTCCTCGATGCCGTCTCCCTCGTGCATGCCCTCAAACACCTCAGTTCGAGAGGTAGAGAGGGAGGGTTTATTTGTAGGCCTTATTTATTTTCTGCCAAAGTGATGAGCTTTTTAATCTATGAATTATAGGTTTATAATATTCAGGGGAAAAAAAGAAAAAAAGAAAAAAAAGAAAAAGGAAAAAGAAAAAAAAGAAAAAGGAAAAAGAAAAAAAGAAAAAAAAGAAGGAACTTAAATAAAATACACAGAAGTTGTTTACCTAAAGTTTTTTCAGATGGTGCAAATAGTATCTACCGCGGCTCAATTGATTGCAATCTTGTGGATTGACCATTTTTTATAAGGATTGAAAAATTGTAGAAACAAATGGAATTTGCCATAAAATTTTGAATTTGATAAACAAATGGCGTCTACTGAATGTTATTGAATAAATCATGGAGTCAACCATAACGAGATGGAGAAATTTTTAAAACCAACCATTTTTAAAATTTAATGGGCAAAATGGACCTATATTGAAAATTATTAGCAAAACCGACCCTTTTCTTTTGAAAAGGGTCGGTTTTGCAGCTGAGTGTCTTTTACGAAGTGCACGGGACTAGCAGTCCCGTGCATTTCATTGAGAAACAAAGTGCACGGGACTGCTAGTCCCGTGCACTTGGTGTTCAGCAGCGGCTACCCTCTCTGGCTGCATTTCAAGTATTTCCTGTGCAAAATGGACTCATATTTTGGTGTGTAACGTGTTGTCCAGTCTATGCCATCACCACGCCTTTTGTTGAAGTATGCGTTTAGTCTATAGAATGTTCTCGCAACCAAAGATTATATTGGCATAGCTCGTGCTCCTTTAAGAACGCCGTTAAAGATCTCAGAGCAATTAGTTGTCATCATGCAAAACCGCACACCCTCATCCTTATATAATGCCCACCGATTTTCGAATTAGGGCTTCAAGTTATTTTTAATCCAATTATGTGCATCTAATGACAAAGACTTGATTTTCTCCCTGCAATGTTCGTACACTAATGTGTCGGTTGCACACCCGGCTTGCCACAAAAGATTTTGCAAATTAATCTCACCGTGTTTTTTCTTGAAATTATCTCTTATATGCCTTAAACAGTATCGATGGTGATGTGGTGCACTAAAACCCTCATATAACGCCCTTATAATTCCTTTCATCCTATCCGAAATAAAGGTAATTATTCTTGGTGCACGGACACTTGGAATCCACTTGTATATAAGTTCAAAAAACCACTTCCAACTAGACGTATCCTCCACCTCCACGACTGCAAATGCTAGAGGAAATAACCCGCCATTTGCATCTACACCGGTCGCTACAAGAAGCACGCCTTTGTACTTTTCATATAAATGTGTACCATCAATGCTCAATAACGGACGACAAAAAGTGAAGTCCTTAATAGCAGGACCAAATGCCCAAAACACGCGAGTGAACCTCTCCATACCCGGTGCAATCTCTTCGGATAATATTTCGTATTCAGTACCCGGATTATTTCGTTTGATAGCTTCAAGATACTGTGGAAGTAATTCATATGATTTTTTCCAATCTCCAAAAATTTTAGACAACGCTTTCCTCCTTGCATCATATGCCTTATATTTAGATATCTTAATCCCCCGCATGTCATATACCCTCTGAAATATCTGACCTGCATTCAGATCAAGTTCAGCTCTAACTTCAGGCATAATTAGCTTACATATATAAGAAGAAGATGCAGAATAATCATCGACATCCACCGACGGGTTGCAACATGTATGAAGTCCGCAATATCTACATATTACAAATTGCCCATTTGATGATTTTCTCACAGCGGCATTTAGCAACCAAGGACATTTTTTATTTCTCTCATCTTGCTCATTTGCGTTCTCTACTTCATTCTTATCGTTAAAGAAGCATTTCACATTGTAGTTTGTTGCATTAGTTTTTACCGGCTTGAATTTGACCCGATTCTTGATGGACCATTCTCGGATTGCAAAGATCAGTGCCTCCTTGCTCTCGAATAGATCCCCTTTTTTAAAAGTGAAGTCCTCGGGTCGTTGTAAATTTGGACAAACATCAACAAATCCAGCTTGAGAAGTATTTATCCAATCCTCATTATGAAACTCGTCGGACAACGGATCTTCAGCTTCCACATAATCATTGTTATCGTTAAATTGCTTCATCCAACGGGCATCATCATCGATTCCAGCTGCCACATGCATGCTATCAATTTGCACGCCATCTTCTTCAATATGATCTGAATCATCATCTGCTTCATCTTCTATAATTGCTCCGACTGGTGGGTAACCCGTAACATGACCTGAAGCGTCGTTAAATATATTAGTTGACGTCCCACCGATAGAATACTCACTTAAATGTTGTGGTTGAGACCATGGCTCTTGACTTGGAGATGTCATAAAACCAATCGACTCGTTGTCTAAGTCAAGCATCCGAGAAAACTCTCCTTGAGGTCGTGAAACTTGGGCAAATTCCTAAATCAGATACTTCTCAATAAACAACTCAATTGACGTTTGCTTCTCGACTAATTGTTTCATGTCATTCAATTCCTCATCTTTGGTAATCTCCACGGCAATAGTTCTACTCTCATTTATCGGACAGTTGAAGAACACCCTAATTGTATATTCTTCTTTCTTAATTTTAGTAACTCTGTGTATTTCCCTAGTCATTCCATCAAAATTACACGACTTATATAGCATGAACATTTTCCGAGAACCTCCATCATACATAGACAAATTATTCACTCCGACGCCGAGGCTCCCATTAAAGAAACAAATAATGGGTATGGAGTTCGTCATCGAAACTGAAAATACACAGTCCATCATATGCAAATAATCTATTAATATCTGAATAAATCAACATTAAATTTATTACCTTAATCAATCCCAAATAATGGCTAAACCCTAATTATTATTCATCATATGTAAATAATTGTTAAACCCTAACTCCCAAATCACATTATTCATCCTATTGCACAAAATAAAATCTAATTCTACCCAATTCTAGCAAAATTAACAGCAAAATTAACAGCCAAAACATTATTTCCCCAATTCTAGCAAAATTTGATGAATATCCCTCTAAAAAATAATTGCTAAACCCTCTCATATGTAAATAATTGCTAAACTAAACCCTAACTCCCAAATCACACATTATTCACCCAATTCTAGCAAAATTTGATGAATATCCCTCTCAAAAATTAACAGCAAAATTAAAAAAAAAACACACCTGAGCGGCGACTGCAAATGGCGGGGGTCGATAGTGTCGGCGGCGCGACGAGGTCGGAGGGCTAGGGGTAGGCGGCGACTGCAAATGGCGGAGGTCGAAGTCGAAGGCTAGGGTTTTTGGGAGGGGGGTCGAGGTTAGGTTTTTTTTTTTTCGGGGGAGAGCTCACGAAAAGAGAACGACAGAACGAAAGAAAGAACGAAAGAAATGGGGGGCTGGTGGGGTAGGCGGACTGCACGGGACTACTAGTCCCGTGCAGCTCCAAAAATTGCAAAACCAACCTTTTTCGGTCGGTTTTGCTAATTATTTTATGAAACGGTCGATTTTGCCCAATAAAGTTGAAAAAAGGGCTTTTTTAAAAATTTGTCCTAACGAGATTGCATGGAAGTCTTACCTTCTTCTCATTCTTCCCCTCAAATATTATTACAAAGGCCTGTTTCAGGCATCTCACTTCCAACATTTATTTGGTAATTCTCTTTGCAATATTTGAATTTTGATGATAAAGTTTAGTTTGCTACAGATTTAAAAGAGGTTGCCCAAGATGTGTAGGGCCTCAAATAAGATATTCATTGCTATTTTAAAAGGGCAAAAGCAGAATACGAACATAATGGATAGAGTGAAAATATGTGATGGATGCATGTCAACTTTTAGTTTTCAGGAGGATGAATATAGAGAAATCAAATGATGGAGAACACTATGAAAGTTGGAATGGCCATACCTGATTCACAGTTATTGGCCATACAAGCTATCTTGACGTGTAGCATTTGTTGTTCAGATCATCACTTTAGTAGTAATGAAAATAAAAATAGTGGCCGGGTATATTAAATATAAAAGATCTTTTTTCCCTGTACACGGGGATAGAAATGAATCATACAGAAGCATATAGTGCTGTGATAGTGGTCTTATTGCCATTATTCGTTGAGGAAAAACAATATTGTATTCTGTTCTGATAGAAAATTCGTAAGCATTCTGCATTCTACACCTGCTTTTCATGGTCATCTCTTTTTATCTGCTCTATATTCTCACAGGTAAATCATACTCTAAAACTTGAGTTACCTTGTCTACATTTTCAATAATGCTACACAAAACTACGTCAGATTTTTTTGGAAACTATAGTTTGGCTGCTTATGTAGGCCATTCTTGCTTCTGAATCACATTAAATTTAAGAGTAAATCGCTCACCTAATATTGCATTCATATTCTGTTACATCATAGTTGAGATAAAGTGCACATAAATGTCAATCGGTATAGACCGAAACAAGTTCTGCTGTCATATATTCTGTTTGGGTATATTGATTTGTCATATCTAGCTGTCTTCATGTTCAAGTCCAAATATGGTACCTTCATGACATATTACTTTTTCTTTTGAAGTTTTTTACCACTCCACCTTATGCATGTGAGCCCTCAAGTCTTCCGCAATATCCACCAAGCAAGGAGATGGATGCTAAATTGAGGGATGAAGAGGCTAGAAGGTTTGTGATTGTAACTTTTTGATATCTTTTATATACATGATTTTGTTCTATTTCATTGATGCTGATGGCTTTGAACTTTCTCATGGCATACAAAGTTGTTCTCTATGCAATTAGGGTTCCTTTGTCTTTCTGTTTAGTATGATCTTACTGCAGAATTTGATGTTTCGTTGTATCAAATGCGAAATGTTGTTTTGTCCTTAAGAAGAGTATATATTGTTACCGTCTCTGTGGACTCATTGTGACATTTTGTAGCATGAAGATAGGCATCCTTAATAATTTTAAATTCAGTGAGAATGCCATGAGAATCTACCGGTTGATGCATAAAGTTACTTGACACATAGTCATCAAGGCGTTTTTAAACTTCTACCAGTTCTGGTCACTTTATTCTGTAAGTCCTGTCACAATTGTTAGCCAACAAAGTAACAATTAACAGAGAACTGGATACCTGCATTTGGCAATTGCTAATTATTTTTATGTGGGGAACTAGTGGTAACTTGAGCAATTGACTCATTATGTTGTGCCTCATTCTAGCTAAAGAAGTTTCAACTTTTTGTTCAACTTCTGACTTACTATATTGAGGTACAATGATCAGTTGGTAGTCGTTTGCTGACAAAGCTGCTGTCAGCAAGTTTCATCTTGGAATCACTGATTATTGTGAGCTAGCTATCTTCCGCTGAGGTTTTAGCCTATTCTCCAACTTAATAGCCGTATAATCCTATGCTGTTGACTATACATGTTTGGAGAGAATAGTCAAGCAGTTTGAAGATCAGCTAAATAATAGTTGTGTAAAATTACTGGTAAGCTGGTTGAATGAAAGACTGACAATTATCGCTAGTTGCCATGCATCACACCCAGCAAATGGTTCAGCCTAAGTTTGGGCATTAGGCATTGTTGTAAGAAGCCTGCTAAACCGCAGATTAAGCCCCTGCTTCGGTATAGCGCTTTTGCGAAGTTTTAGCCCTTGCTTCAAGAATTAGAAGTTTTTGACACTGTAATATAATCTTCATTTGCTAATATTTATTGTTCTCATTAAACTTGTAGAACCAATTACTTTTTTGACTTCTTATGCTTCTTAATTTCTGATATTGGTCCAATTTGCTTCTTTTTTTTTATTGCCTTATTTTTTTTTGTTACGGAAAAAAGCCTTGGCCCTTTTTTCGCTTAAGCTTCCTAAAGCTGCCCTGTCCTGACGCTTCACTCCCATTTCCGCTTTCCACAACTTGCAAATTACTTAAAAGCATTCCTACGTATTATGGCATTTTTTGTAATTTGTATAGTTACATAGTTAGAGGGATGGTTCTTATGCAAAAGTGGTAAGGAAGAAGGCGGAGTTACATAGATAAATGTTCCCCCACGAGCATTCACACCATTCTGCATTTTTTTACCTGTATCCCTTAAGCCTCTGTAGAAACTTAACCGTTCTAATCCTTTGAAGTTAGGTAAATCACGTTAGTGGACTGCTATTACTGCCGCATTGGTTAACCAAATGACAGCTATCCGACTGAAAGAAATTGGTTGAACTCTCAATCTGCTAGAATAACTTTAATCTATTCTCACTTTGTCAGCGATAAGAGAAAGACAAAGGTTAATATATGTCTTTGTTCCTGATAAAGAATATCATAGTGTTTCTAGTATCCTAGCTGACCCATTCTACTTCTTTCAACCCTTCCATCTCATGGCTCAATGACCTTTTTGAAAAGATATTTCTCTTACAGAAAGTAGGGGCATTTAGTTTGTGGGCAAGTGCTGTCATTTGTACCCGTTGGGATTCATTTCACTTCCTAAGCTCTTCTTTTATGCGGGTGCCATGGTGCTTACCATAGATGTACTGGTTTTCTTATTAAGACTAATTCATATATTTACATGTGTTGGCTTATCTAGATCAATATTTGCGAGTGTAGGTTGAGAACTGCGGGCAGAGCCCATGGTGATGGAACAAAGAAGACACGCACACGTGATCGAGCTCCTAGGGCAGTTCCTGCTCCTGTAGCTAATGCAGAACTCCAAGCAAACCTTGATGTAAGTAGACCACTCTCTCATCAACTGTACCTTCATTAAGATTGTTTCTTATAGAAATCAGGCTACGTTATCGTGCAACTGCAGCAGAACCATTACACGTAGTATATTTTTCCTGTGTGACTGGAGCCTTTATTAATCATCTGCAGAATGACAGAAAGTTTAACAAATTCACTCCATATTGTTATCAACTCAAGATTTGACGGAGAGTCACCTAGTAAATCCATGTTCAACTTGAGTGGGGTATCTGATCTACAGTCCATAGACATCACTTGCACTGTGCTCACATTTAATATAATGCAACTATATTTAGTATGAATTTACAAAGCTATGGTATACAACGTGCATACCATTTCTGCAGAAACCATGTGAATAAACACATCATTAATTCCATGCTGGAGAAATCTGCTGTTGCTTCAAAACAGAATACTAGTGCATACTTATGCTCTTATAATGCTGGTGTGCTTCAGGCTCTACCTGTAATAATAAGTTTAGAAACTACTACTGTCACGCCCCTAGCCTGTGAGCCCGTTGGCACGATATAATTCATAGGACCCACTAAGTGCAACGCGTTGTTTGGCTCAAACCACTGCCAGATGGTCAATGTTACACTTGACTCTCAGGAACCATCATTTAAAGCATTCAAAATTTCACATTCCCACCGCTGTGGGACTAAAGCTAGTAGGATATCACAATGACCCTACCTTACACATGCAACATCCTCATCCTGACATGACAACTGGCATATCTCAGCATCACCGCTAGGTGATGTGGACTCTAGAGGTGACTCCTACGGTCTCTAGAGGTGGCTCTCACCGCGCCCACGTGGTGTAGGACTTAACCTTGCATAACACTTGGCTTCATTCTTAGCTCTGACGGGCTCTAGATGTGGGACTAAAGTTAGTGGGATATCACAATCATCTTATCTTATATGTGCGACGTCCTCGTCGCGTCATGATAATTGACATATCTCAGTATCATCGCTAGGTGACATGGACTCTAGAGGTGGTTCTTATGGGCTCTAGAAGTGGCTCCCACTGCGCCCACGTGTAGTACCTAGCCCCACATGACACTTAGCTCCACACTTCCGGATGACAAACTTCTTTGATACCATTTGTCACGTCTCCGGCCCGCGAGCCCATTGGTGTGATGTAAGTTTTGTGAGACCACTGAGTGGAACGCGTAATTTAGCTTAAACCACTGCCAAAATTGACTTGTCAATGTTACACTTGACTCTCAAGACTCATCATTTAAACCATTCAATTTTCCACGTTCCCACCGATGTGGGACTAACGCTAGTGGGATATCACAACTACTTCTGTTGTAAATTATAGATCTTCCACCTATCCATGTTACAATGATTAAACATCATGAAATGGATTCATTTGCAAGTTCTTTTTGGCCAACCCTTTTTCTGCTAAATAAGCAAAACAAACTTATTGCTTTATTTATATAAATGTAATATACTATACAAGGTTTCGAAATCATTCTTTCTTCCTTGTAGCTTAGACGTAAAGAAGCTGATTAATTTCCTTTTTGTCTTCTTTTAAAAATTTAACAGCGTAGGCGCCTCATTACACATGCTAATGCCAAAAGCAAGAGCGAAAAATTCCCTCCCCCTCACCAAGATGGAGCTCTTGGTTACCCATTAGGTTCATCACATCACATGGACCCGGCATTTGATCCTCCTGATCCTTCCTCATTCTCCACGGTGTTCCCCTACCAAAAAGGACAGAGTGTAGCTACTTGGTCCGGTCCATTGATAGATCCCTTAGCTGTTGGCAATCCAAAGCGAAAAAAGCAACAAAATTCAGGGTTTATTCGCACAAAAGATAAGAGCAGTTCCCGTGTCAGATAGAAGGAAATTACGCAAGCTATTTCGGTTTGAACGTAACCAGATTCATATTCTGAGGCAAAACTCGTTTATTGGATGGAGAGATGGAAGATAGAATTGTCGGTTTTATTTTACGTTGTAATTTCCTTTCCTTCTCTATTCTATTTTTTTTGTATGATTGGCTCTTATAAAGTCGTAGGCTATAGAGGGTACTTTGTCACTGTGTATATTAAATTCCCCCCCCCGTCCATTTCTTCTTTTGTCGAGATACTGAATGCTGTTTAGGGTAGCAATAGGTAATAACAAAGTGTACTGAAGTCTTGTAGCCAATTTATAAGTTCTTTTGTAAACATTACCGAGACAACTTCGGCTCTTGTATGGGACTCATGCCTTGAAAATGTTTGTTATTGATCAATTAGTTTCTCATGTGAAAATCCTGACTCAATTTTGAGTAACATGTGAGCAAACAGCATGCTAAACTATTGAAACCATCATATAATTGCATGGTCTAGGATTATGTGGAAGATGATAATAGCATTGATAAATTTCAAGCTTTCAGGTGAACTGTTACAACTACCCAGCTGTGTGTGTTCACCTATACCCCAACTAAAAGCACTTGGAAACGTATAGGGTTTTAATCAGAATCTCATTGAACTAAACTGGTGATTAACGACTAAAGCCCCTTTAATTGAGGGCATCTGTAAAATTTGATGACCAACCATTTTGAACTCTGGCCCCAGTCCTGCAGTTAGGTTGCCAAAAAAAAAAAAAGAGAGATGCAATCCAGTTGGCATTCTTTCTCACAAAAATGATAACCCAAAACATTCCGTTTTCATTTTCTTTCTTACTTTTCTTGGAGATTTATATCAACACCTCATCAATAAATTCAAAGTTGGAATGTATTAGGAAAAGCATCTAGAAGTAACTATGTTAATTATTTTCCAAAAAATATACGACATGTGTTAAGCCCCTGATAAGCAAATGACATCATTTGCAAGCCAAACAACTAAGCAACCTGCTGCCTAACTGTCTATCTTTGAGACTTTTTACTTCTTTACGTTCATGACTCGTTTTACCACAAAAATCAACACAAATTATTTACAAAGGCATTTCTGACCAAAGTTTTGATCATCCCCCCACTAGTTATCTTCTACAGTTTGTACTCTTAATATGCAACCGAAATCCACCTAAACTTGAAACTTCATCCTCTATTTCTTGAGTGGGGTCTTTAATTATGCGTCCAAAGAGCCAACCAAGAATCCAAACAAGCACATGTTTGAATAGCAGTTAAGTGTGGATGAACCCCCAGACCAACTTTCAAATATATATAAACTCTGTGCACAACTTCAAGAGGATTACTCTTAGCAGAGTTCAGAGTGCTAAGGAAATGGCGTTAGTACTGCTTTTCGTGCTCTGCACTCTGGTCGGAGTCATAAGATGCGATGAGAATGCAACGTCGGCTTCTTTTGTGTTTGGAGACTCTCTGGTTGATGCTGGGAATAATAATTGGTTACCGACGTTGTCAAAGGCTGATATACAGCCGAATGGGATAGATTTTACAGCCTCTGGTGGCCAGCCTACTGGGAGATATACTAATGGGAGGACTATTGCTGATATCGTTGGTATGCATGCTCTTTTTTCCTCTCTTTTTATGTTGATGATTATGAGCTAATATGAGTAGCTTTCATGCGTGTACATTTTTTGCATGTAAGACTAGGACAGAAAATATATATGAGAATTAGTACATAAACTAATTACAGGGTTATACAAATCTTTTCTTCATAAAAGAAAAAGCTGAACGCTAATCTTTGGAGCTATGTTTGTTGTGTTTCGGTCTATGAAGTACTTCGAGTAGTACTGAATTTGATGCATACTTTTCTCTTGGGTTTCATGGTAGAAATTAATATTCATAAAAACTTTCTTTTTTTTATTTATATATTTCCATACACTGATGGAGAAGAAATCAGAATGAGTAAAGAGACTATGAAGATACAGTGCCAGTAAGCATAAACTTCAAATATCAGAAGAAAACAATGGAAAACATCTCATACTGTAGTGTTATACCGCAATTTCTATAGGTTATTCAGAAAGTTTTGTTCTCAGATATAAATTTCATGCCTTTCTAGTACATGTATAATTTCTATTTAGCGATTAAGAAAACAGCATAACATAGACCAAACAAATGCATCAATTCATCTGTAAATGTAAAAAACCATATGAGGTTTAAATTAAACAAAATATTTTCAAATTTTCCTGAGTTTTAATTTTTTTGCATGTGTAGGTGAGATGTTGGGGCAAAAGGGATATGCACAACCATTTCTAGACCCGAATACAACAGGACCAATTATACTCCAAGGAGTGAACTATGCATCAGGCGGTGGAGGAATTCTGAATGGCACAGGGAGAATTTTTGTATGCATCAATCTAATTCCTGTTTCTATTTACATAAAATTTTCAATCATAATCATTATTAATATATAATTCCCATGTTTTGTCTCAGATCAATAGGCTTGGGATGGACATTCAAGTTGATTACTTCAATATCACAAGAAAACAGATTGATGGATTGTTGGGAAAGGACAAAGCTAGAGATTATGTAACGAGGAAGGCGATTTTCTCGGTAACTATAGGAGCAAATGATTTCCTCAATAATTATCTACTGCCAGTCCTGTCTACAGGAGAGAGGATATCTGAGACTCCTGATGGTTTTGTTGATCAGCTCATCTCCACCCTGAGGGGTCAACTAAATGTAATTTTCTTAACCTTTTCTACTCAACTTTTAGAAAAATAAATAAATATCCGTATTAGCTTAAAGTCAAATTACTCTTAGGTATCCTACAACCAGAGATGCAAACAAACACGAATATTTGCAGATATATCTGTATCCATATCAGATTGGATACTGATACAGATATTAAGAATCCATATTTTGACCAGATACAAAATGAATATAGATATCTATTTGTTATGTACATGGATTTAGATAGTGATGTCTGATTATATCCATATAGATTAGACAATTCAAGTTATGTTTGTCTTTGATTGGTAAATTTGAAGTAAATATTGGTGTTCTAGAGATCAAATCCTAGGGTTTTAGGTATATACGATTCGTATTGTCATGTCCTACATACTTTTGAGTTTTATATGCTTCTGTCATATCTGATATATATGTATTTTTTTCCTTCAATCTAACCTGATCGGATTTCGAGCGATATGGATACATGTTTTCCTTATGCATATGTATTAATAAAGAGATACATATATGACAAATGTCATATCTGATCCGTATCCCATCTGTTTGCACCTCTACTTCAAACATATTAATATGATTATTCCTCATGTATGTTTTTTCCCCAATACAGAGGCTTTACTCACTTGATGCAAGAAAATTTGTGGTGGGAAATGTGGGGCCAATTGGATGCATCCCATATCAGAAAACTATAAATCAGCTTCAGGCAAATCAATGTGTGGGCTTAGCAGATAAACTAGCAAGGCAATACAATGGCAGGTTAAGAGATCTGCTCACTGAATTGAATGAAAATCTGCCTGGAGCAAAGTTTGTGCTTGCTAATGTCTATGATCTCGTCATGGAGCTCATTGCTAATTACCAGAAATACGGTCAGTATCCTTTTCTCTTTGGCTCGCAATAAAACTCATGTGTACTAATCTCCTGCTACACTGAAACTTCAAAGTTGTTAGCGGTATATAATATATGCACAGTGAGATCCTAATATACCATCAATCCTAATGCCCGTACGAGCTGGCTTGCTACTAGTCTTGTACTATCTAAACATTTTAATACCGATGTCATCACTTCGGCTCCGCACTAGACTAGTCTCTGATAGCACTACATCAAACCCCTCAATACCGTCTACACGACTACAAATCATTGGCCTGACTCTGATACCACTTACTAAAGTTCCTTCCATTGAGCCAAAACTTCAAAGTTATGATGAGGAATAAAGGGTTAATACTTTTTGCACTCTTGACTCTTTAATCTTAAAAAATTTGCAGGATTTCAAACGTCAAGTAAAGCTTGTTGTGGCAACGGAGGACAATTTGCAGGTATAATACCGTGTGGTCCCGCTTCAAGCTTGTGTGATGATCGTTCGAAATACGTATTTTGGGATCCCTATCATCCAAGCGAGGCTGCAAATCTTATAATTGCGAAAAAATTAGTAGATGGAGAGGTGAAGTACATATCTCCCATGAACCTCCGACAACTTAGAGATATCTAAGTTTGAGATCATATTGTTCCAAAGTGTTCATACATCATGTTTATCAGAGTATGTAGCATGATGTATATGGAGTTAGTTTTGTGGGTTTCAGAATGTTTATGTTTGTAAAAGGGTTTTTTTAGAGGGTTTATAAAACATGGGTTGCTGGGTTTATTGGTTTATCTAGTTCCAGAATGCGACATGACTGCAAATTGTAACTTGATAGCGCTACATTCATATGTGTAAATGCAAAAGTACAGGTTGTAGCTTGGACTTTGACCTGAAATACTTAATGAGCAATTGAACGATATTGTGACATAAGATTTTTTTTGAATGGTTGAAAAGCATTTTAAAGCATGTATACGGCTCATATTTAAAGGCGGTTGAGGGTTTAGTTTCTTCATCGAACAATTAATAATATACCGAATCTTATTACAATCTTATTTGACAAAATGAGCTACTAAGAGATATCGGTAGAGTAAATGTATATTGCTCCTATATGGCAAACAGAGTGAATTCTTGATAGTTCATTTTGAAAGATTAGTCGTTGACGTACACGGTATACTTGTATACATAGAGAGATGTTTCTTTGAGGTCTATCATTCGCGGTGATGGTTTTATCTGCTCTAATTTTTTTGAAACCCCATGCTAAAAAAGCAAAAAATATTTGATGATATTGGTGCGTAACATTAAAGATGCATAGAAAAACATATCTATCATTACATTAGCACATTAATCCCAAAATCTATTCCACTATACAAATAGAAGAACTCAAGATTCATTATTCATGCTACAGTAAATACCACAACAGCATTTACTATATCATTTACTGAAGCGAATAGGAAACTGGACACAGATTTTTTGAAACTATTACTGTAGCACACTGGGATATTGTAGTATATTCAAAACTGTAGACGACTAGTAACATTAAAGACCCAATCCGCATCTCCCTTTTATTATCCACCCTCCAAAATAACACAAAAGCACCCTAAACCTCCTAAAATTTTCATGGACCCCCTCCATTAATACTCTGCTTCTCCATCCTCCCTCCTCCATCTCGCTCTCCTCGGTCTATCATGGATTCCACCCCCGAATCTCGCCTCGATTTCGGAAAGCTCGAGTTTGGGTAGAATTTTGATCAAAATGCCGATTCTTTCGTAATTTTTTTTGGTATTTTCCGTTATTTTTTGGGAGGGTTTTCGTAGGTGCAATCATTATAGGAGGAGATGCAAGATCCGAGCCCCTTGCTGCAACGAGATTTTCGGATGCCGCCATTGCCACAATGAATCCGACGTGAGTTTCTTGTTTTTTTGGCGGGAAAAAGATGGCGTCTTTTGTTTTCTTGATCCCCTTGGTCCTTTGTTCTTGATGGTTGGTTTTGTACTGGGTTTAGGTTGATGGGCACACGCTCTGCCGGCACGATGTTCAGAAGGTGAGATTGATTTTGAATCTTTAATTTTACCACCTTGATTTTGTATTGATTTTGAAATTGGAGGCGACCCCCTCAGTTCTTGAGGGAGAGGGGGTGTTTCTTGCAAACCATCTTTCTAAAAATGGGCAATCTGATTTAAGGGGTACTAAGTGCAAGTGAAGGTGTGCATGAGGGGGTTTATGTGTGCATGAGGGGGGTTATGTGCAATTTGCTCTTGCTTTGCAATACCTCAAAAGTTATGATAAAAGGAATATTTTCTAGGATATTCTTGATTTTTGCTCTCGCTTCCATCATTCAAAAGCTGATTAAGTTTTAGGGTGCTTTGGCTCAATGTGGGAGGATTAGAAGGTAAAATTGCAAATATTGAGATTTGGGAGTTAAAGATTTCAAATATAATTGATTTGGAAGGTATATATGTATCTTTTTTATTTCTTAAATTTGGGTTTGATGTGTTATTATTTGTTCTCAAGTTTTTTATTTCTTGTGATTTTTTAGGTGATTTGTTTGGTCTGCGATACTGAACAGCGGGTAAAATTTCTGAATTATCTTTGTTTATTTGAAATTCTTTTTCCTTCTGGGAATTATTGTAAGAGTTGGGGTGATTTTAGGTTACCAAAGTTTGTACAAAGTGTGGTGTAAACATGGGGGAGTATTTCTGTGAAATCTGCAAATTTTACGACGACACTGAGAAAGGGCAGTTTCACTGTGATGATTGCGGTATTTGTCGAGTTGGAGGGCAGGATAATTTCTTCCATTGCGAAATGTGTGGTATGTGCCTCTCTCTTGATAAATATTTGGATTTGTTTGCTTTTCTTGATAAATGTTTGAATTTGTTTGCTTTTCTTGATAATTGTTTTCTATTAATGACGAACTAGACTTCTATTAGAACAATGAATAGTTATCTACATTTATTGCTGACATCTTGTTTTCCTTTTTGTTGACGTTGTATATACATGTTTTTTTTGTCTTTTTGTTGAGCTCATTGTTCTATCTGATTGTACTCAAGTGCATGTGGGATGGAATAGATGAAATTCATGGCACTTCGTTATCTACATTTTATGGATACATCTTCTTTAGTCGAAATTTTCTGTTAATCTACATATCTTTGTCCATTTGAAATTATCTATAGGTTCCTGCTACTCAAATTCTCTACGAGGTAAGCATACATGTGTGGAGAACTCAATGAAACAGAATTGCCCCATATGTGCTGAGGTACAGTTTCGTGATATTCTTTCACATTCTACATTTGAAATCTGAAACATCATAATGTTAGATTCTATGTCGCAGTATCTTTTTGACTCGTTAAAAGTGACAAGTGTTTTGAAATGTGGGCACACAATGCACTCTGAATGTCTGGCCGGAATGTTGAATCATCATCAGTAAGCCTCATCCCCCCACTAAACTGTAGTACCTACTAATTTGACACCCAATCCAATTTGATTTTGGTGTTTAAGAAGGGAAATTTTATATGTTATTAATGTTCTTTTTGTTTTTCTTTCTTTTGCAGTAGATACACATGTCCAATGTGCTCCAAGTCCGTGGTAGATATGGCAAGGCATTGGAGAAAGCTCGATCAAGAGGTAAACACTTCTTACCTTTCGACATACTGAGGCTTTGTGTTCTTAACTCATGCTTATCAATATCTAATAAGAAGTATTGGGATGATCAAGAGTTGTAGGTATCAGTAGCTTTACTAGTTCAAATGCTTGTATGAGTTTTGAATGCAAAATATGTTTCTATTATAATACATCCATAGACAGCTCAAACTGAAAACCTGAGTCATTGGAAGGATGAAACAGGATGGGTGCAGTTGATAAGAAAGAAAATTCGCACACGTCAGCATATAACTAAAATACGAATACATAAGTATAATACTTGCATATTTTGTCTAGATTTATGTGTGCTTGACACCTATCAATAATTTTATTTGTTATTAGTCATATGAAAGAAAACTTATATTAGCAAAATGATCTACATATTGAAGGTTTTTGAGGTAAACATAAGCTCATTAGGATTTGTGGATGTAAAAATGAATGAAGGTGTATATTATATTTAGGTATACTGAACACCCCAACTTCAAACATGAAGGAAATATCTTTTTCTTTTGCTTGATAGCATTGGAGAAGTTTGAAATCTGACCTCATCGAACCAAAACCAAAAGGTATATAGTTCAGTAGAAACTGATCAAACTCTTGAAATTTCACTTAGTAGTACTCCAAACACATGGAAGGAGTACCTTAATGGTTCACATTGATGGATAAATCTGTTTGCCTTAATCTCATTTGGCTTTTGATTTCATGCTTTTGATGCTTGATGCTGAATGTTTAGGATTTGTAATATTTCCCTTGGAGATCATGACCGGAAAGGAATATAATATTCTACTTAAGAGGCAATGCTAGTCATCAGGAGAAACTATGTACAAATTCAATTTTCTTAAGAAATATTTTTATAAAGAGTACTGATAAATGTAACTCTTATTGTCCAATTGCAAGATGGTAGGTTTATCAAATTTGGATTTTGGAGAGTGTACATACAAAATTTTTGCTCGCAGTTTCCCACTCATTCTAGATGTTAATTGCCAACTATTGAATAGTTCTGTTGTGGATGGGAGGATGAGCTTAAGAAGAAAGGTGACTTGTACTTTCATACATGAAAAACAACTCTGCCTGCTATACATGGTCCGATCCTACTAATGCTTTCAGCAATTTTGTTTTAGATTATTCCAAATCGAATAATATACTTCGCACCCCCTCCTCCCGCAGAAAAAAAGAAGAAGAAAAAACCACCAACCACTAAAAAAAAAGAAAAGCAAATAATATTCATGTTCCCTTTGGAACTGTAGAGTGTAAGAGATAGGAACTTTCACAAAAGACCTGAAGTTTGATTATTGGCCAATATACTAATACCATGGAGTCATCTGCGCATGATATGGTTTAATATGCATGCATGCATGCAGTAGAAGGTAGTTTGATGTTATATTAATTCAGAGAAACTAAAGTGGAATGTGCTTCATTTAGAGATTTTACAACAATGTTCTATTCTCTCTCTCTTTGTGGCTTGGCTTGGCTTTCTTCAATTCATAAGGGAACTTGATAAATTGCCAATAAACTATAATCTCTCTTTTTTTTTTTGCTTGGCTTGGCTTGGCTTTTTCTTCAATTCGTAAGGGAACTTGATAAATTGCCAATAAACTATAACTATACTTTTGTGTATGTCATATGCACATACTTAGATGTTTAAATAAATAGATGCCATCTCCATCTTTTCTTTAAAACCGTCTAGTGTCATTCTTTTACCTAGAAACCAACGTAGTATAATCTATATTTGGAAAGCAATAAGCTAAGAAGTGAAAAATTATACTCTAGTTTTGTCGCAAGCACACAATCTTGGAAAGAATTGCCACATGCATAGTTGCGTATTTTAGTTGTGTAAATACACTCCTGAGGTTCTTCCAATCAAAAAGCTCTGTACTTGAAAGTTCCTTGCTGTGATTGCTTATCCAAACTTACCAGCTGATTTGAATTTTCAGTTTAGAGCACATTCGATTTTCTTCTTAACCACAAATGTAGATATCCTTCTCTCTCCGCCACTCTTTAACATTTTTTCTTTCATTTCTTCCAGATACGCACTATGATAATGCCCCTGAGTTATCGGTTCAAGGTCAGTGCATCACCAATTTCCTTTTAAATTGCATCACATCGATGAGGTTATGGATAAGTACAAGTATGAAGTAGCTTTTTGATCAGCTACCCAATTGTGTCCTCCATTAGATCAACGACATTATCATTTTTGTTGCATTCTCTGTGAACATAAAATCCTCTATTTCTACAGGTACAGATCCGATGTCATCAATGCGAAAATACCACTGAACGTATGTTTCATATCCTCGGTCATAAGTGTGGCAGCTGCAGTTCCTACAACACCCGAATAATTTCTCAACCTCCAGCGCTCCGTTAATGGTTCATCTTTATGCGCAACTGACAATCAAGGAGAAAACTTTGCTGAACCATGGTACATGTACTTATGTGCTATAGCTATAATACAACTCAGGAAAATATTTTGGAGGGGTCTGTTGATTTTTATCTCTCTCAACTTGCAGTTTCCGATGATACGATATGTTTCCTTGTTAATTTTTTTTCTTTGAACTAGCAGTTTTCTTGATTAATAGAACTGTTGTCTTTTACTGATTTGTTATTCTGGGAGCTCTACAGATTTATCATTTAACCCATTATTGGATGATTGGATGCATTGCATGGGAAAGTAAAGCTAGAAGAAAGCATATATACCAAGTAACTAACTAACTTCGGTCCAAAACATTGTTAGTTCTCATCTGACTAAACTTAAATATTGAAGCTCATAGCAAGCACCAGATAGTAATCAGCAGCATCACCCGTCTGAGCGTGCTTGGAGAGTACCCTAAGTTAACGTGCATGGCATAACACTAAGCACGCTACCTAAAAAATTAATGAATAGTGAGCGACGCACATTATTATTATTATTATTATTATTTTCATTTAATTTCCATGCGTGTACTTAAAGAAGCTCTGGCCTTGCTTAACTATGAAGTATCGAGCAAAGAACACCGTAAGCTGTCAATTGCATGCCGATCTGAGCGAGCGTAGAGAAAAGCGTCAACTACCAACCATGCTAGGAAAAGCGTAGGAAGATGGAGACGGAAGAGAGAGAGAGATCAAATCGGAGCTGGGGTTTTAAGGAAAAGTCAGGGCAAGAAGAACGAACGATCGATGTAGGTATTTACGATGCGGCGGCTCTGTAGGAATAAAAAGTTTGCTGGAAATGGTGGTCTAGTACAAACAGGGGCAGCCCCAATGGGTGGTAGGAACCTTTGGGGCTCGTTTTATCAGCCCCAACCAGGGGCGGACCCATGTTAGTTCAAAGTGGTTCATATGAACCACCTCAAATTTCAGAAAACCCTATATATTATATATATCTCAGATACTAACAAGTAGAACTTACAACCTAGTGGATAAGCAGTAACAGTTAAGGTTGTTTGTTTAAATGTAAGGTTCTGGGTTCGAATCCCAGATTTGGGTTTTATTGTTTATATTTGTTTTCATTGCTTATTTTCTTTAACTCAATTGGACATTTGGTTTTCGAATCCCGAATTTTGATTATTTTGTTTAATTCATTGCTTAGCTAAGGTTGTTTATTTTTGGATTTGGTTTTCATTCTTGGATAAAATTTTATTTTTCTCATAATCTTTTTTAAATTTACATGAATATTCATTGTATTAGTTAATTTTATGATTTTCTTTCATAATTTTTTCTCTCTATTAACTTTTTTCCTATTATTTTCTTGTCTTTTAAAAATTTATTTTACTAAGAAAGTAATAGAAAACATTAAATACACATAACTTTGAAAATTCTTGCAACAAACATATCTATAGCTTTGCTAGTTCTCTCAGCTACAAACTTCGGCCTTGACCCTGTCTATATACTATTTCCAAAAAAAATTAATATGTATTTTGAACCACCGCTGCTAACTTTGTAGATCCGCCACTGGCCCCAACGGGTGGTAGACAACCTCTTGCAGTTCGTTTATGTAGTGAAGGATCAGACTAATATTTGTCATTTTTAACTTGCTTATAAGCAATATGCAATGCATATCAAATAGAACTCTTTTTAAGTTTAGACAAGTGATTTTTTACCTCTTGTTGCGCAAGTGATTAGATAATTCCATGTCATGGAGGCCTCAACTTTTGCATAGTTTTTTCCAAAAATATTGCATGTACTTTGTGATAGCCAATGCAATTGCTAGCGTCCAAAAATGTTCAAAAAATGTGGAGAGACGTCTCCTGCTAAGAGGCTACTAATCTGTAACCTGCTTTTCATTAATGCCTAACAATTTATTGGCTAATTATGGTAAGAGAAACATTACATTCTGCTAAGTTAGGCTTTTTGGAAAGCAAATTGCACATCCTGATTGTTGTGGCAAGAAACTGGTTAATGTGGCTTTTCACCCCTTATATATCAAGAAACTGGTTAATGTGGCTTTTCACCCCTTATATATGAAGTTTTAGTCAAATAGAATTGGTCCACTTGATGCATTGTGGTGGTAACTATATATAGCTATAACTTGTTGCATAAATTGCAATTGTCATTTTTAAGAAAATATATGCGACTATCTGACTTGGATTGTATGGTTTACTAGCTTATTAATTTCCATTTTACAGATGAACCAATGGAATAGTATGCCAATGTTATAAGTCTCATGGGTGATGATTGTAGTGGCTTGAAATAAACTTTGATGCAAAATGTAACATCTATGGGCATGCTATCAGTATATTGAAGCTTATGATATCAGTATATTGAAGCTTATTAAAGTAATATTAGTATTCCTTTTGTGACTTGAGGTGCAAGTCTAGTTCCACAAATACTCATGGAGAACAATCAGGTATTGCATGTGATATCTTCTCTATCTCAAGGTTCAAATGGCGTCTTTCTTGCTGCTTCTTGCATGGATCACAAGTATTCCAATTCTAGCACGATTCCAATTCTTGCAAAATTCCAACACATTATTGAATTGTGCTTAACATCTTGTTCTCTTCTATCAGGATTTACTAGCTTCTTTGATTCTTTAGCATGACAGTTTAGAGTAAACTAACAGTTTTTCCCCTTTCCCTAGTGGCAAGACCATTGAACTTGATGATGTCACTTTTCATCAGTGTGTAAATCTGATGAGGTTCAACTCAGAAAAGACAGTCAGCTTTGTGCCTCTGGATGGTGAATTTGAATTGATGAAGTAAATCTTTCAACCTTTCTTACAATTAAGATTGCTTTTGTGCTAGTGTCGCATCATGCTTTGATGAAGTAAATTTGTCAATGTGGACAGTTTTTTTGATTGCCTGTTATGTTAAATAAGGTTAACTTAGTTTGTTCGTGTTATGTTGGATTTTAGCGTACATTTTGTAACCAAGGCATAATTTGTTTTGAGTTTCTACAAAAAAATATATGGCATAGAAATACAAACTATGAAGAGTTGGGCCATTTTTGGAGTAATGAGATTGAGTATTTGAGTGAGGTTGATTGCATAACTTCGAGTGGGATGCTTAGTGTATAGTGTTTGGCTCCTGTTACCGTTGAGGTGAAAAATTGGCCTTCTAGTTTTTTGTTCTACTAAGTTCCATTTGCAAAAGAATAAGAATAACTAGACTAGCTAGTTTAATTAAATTTAATTTAGATTAGTTCAGTTGACAATTTGAAAAAACTGTTCATGGTAATTCTCTATTAATGCAAGTTGGAATAGTTCAGTTAACAAAGACGAGAAATTGAATATTGGAGTATCACCTCATCCTGCGTACATGTTGCATGGCCTGACATTAATGCATAGAAGATGAAAGAACTAGATTTACTTAGATATGTATATTTTGATTAGGACTAACCAAATTGATCTAACCACTCATTTTACTATCAACAAAGCAACTAACGACATTTAACTAGCACCCCTCAACTAATTTAGTGGCACCTAGCTCACCTGTATTGTCATTTTTAGAAGGATAAATTACAGATAACACCACTCTTCACATATAATTTTATGAAGCATGAACCTTCCATGATACTAATGATTTAACATGTAGTTTGCGTCTCTATTTGTCCTGCTAGAGAAACATGCACATGGATGATTTAACATTCTGCTCCTGTTTTTTTTTTTTGGTTAAATGCCCAGATTGAAATTGGGATAATCCTGATTTCTTTTAAATTTGATATTTATTTCTAGCTGTCATGGTGATTTCATGTTGACATATTTTATTAATTTGTTATTTTGCTAAGACCTAATTTCTTCTTCAGTTGATACCAGTTTCTCTACTTACATTTTTAATTTGATCTTACTGTGTTACTTTATAGGTAAAGAGTGTCTTTGGTGCTAAAATGTTTGCACTGGGAGTTGCAGTGAAGGTTCCAGTACCAAAACAAACAGCAAAGACAAGTTTCCAGGTGACATCAGGCAAAACCAAATATAAAGCTGCTATTGATTGTATTGTCTGGAAGTAAGTCCTGTTACTTCTCCTCGTTTCTTTCTGATTACAGCAGTAGGCAAGAGCTGAGTGCTTTTCTTCTTTCTTGATTTTATTATGTACCTCTTATATATGTTTTTTTTCCAGCAGTAGGCAAAGCCAAACAAGCTATTCAAAGTGTTTTCACCAGTAGGCAAGAGCTGAGTGCTTTTCTTCTTTCTTGATTTTATTATGTACCTCTTATATATGTTTTTTTTCAGCAGTAGGCAAAGCCAAACAAGCTATTCAAAGTGTTTTCAGCAGTAGGCAAGAACTGAGTATTTGTGCATAACATTTTTGGCTATTTTTTCTTTTTTTATTTATCTAACAGTCCTAACTGTTGTAACCGTTGGGGCAAATATTAGCCCCAACGGTTCTAACCGTTGGGGCAAATATTTTGCCCCAACGGTTAGAAACGTTGGGGCAAATATTTTGCCTCAACGGTTAGAAACGTTAGGGCAAGTTTAACAACCATTGGGGCTGGCTTAGCCCCAATGCGATTTGTCCTAACGGTCCTTTTTTTAGTCCCAACGGTTCTAACCGTTGAGGTCATGATTTGCCTAACGGTTACAACGGTTAGGACAGCCCTATTTTGGGGCAAATAATTATTGACTCGCTTTGAGAAAAGGTTTTAACGAGGGACTGTCATTTTTGTGTTAAAGCTGGCATGAAGCAGAAGACGCTACTTTTTGTTATTATTATTGTTTATTTATTCATTTATTTTACCTCTGGAAGGTGGATTTCTTTCTTTTTTCTTTTTCTGACAATGTTGGTTATTCATTTACTACTACATTACATTTTGGCTAAATATCATAAAACCCTCCCATAACTGTGGATGATTACCAGAAAACCTCATTAACTTTCAAAGTATTAGAAAACACTCCTTAAATTTAGAGGTTAGCAAAAACCCTTTAACATTCAGATTTCATCAAAAAAATAATCCTAATTTAGAGGGATTTTCTGAAAGAATCTGGAAGTTAAGTTGGGGTTTCTAATGAAATGTAAATGTTAATTGGGGTTTTGTGATAATCCCTATACTTAAGGTGATTTTTCCTGATATTTTGAAAGTTAAAGGGGGTTTTCTGATGATCATCCAAAATTAAGGGGCTTTTCTAATATTTAGCCTTAAATTTTTGCAGTTGCTCAATTAAGGATGTTCTTATAAGAAATAAAGGAAAGCAGCTAATTTACTTTAAACAGAATAAAACTGATACTGTTAATAAAAAATATTTTTAAAAAAAAAGCTGTGAGCCTTCGAGGCGTCAACTTTGATAGTTGGGGTGTGATATGCCTTCGGTCAGGTAGGCTCGTCGGTCACCCGGCCCGGCCCATTGGCCGCGTGCCTACCCAAATAGGTGCTGATGGGCCATGCTAAAACCCTACCTACACATTAAAGCCTTACAAAAAGACATTTGGTCGTCTACACGTTACACGGTACCACACAATGTTTGAATACAACTAACAACAACAACAACAACAGAGTCTTATTCCAAGTTTTTAGGGCCATCTATATATCCTGCACTTGAACTTAGGCATGCTGAAGTGCCGAAGGCTATCACCACTACCTAAAACTTTAGCATGTTAGTCTAGACTATAAATACAACCAAGTACAGAAGGAAATAAACCCAACAAATACTCAACATCTCTGCTAAAAATTATGGTATACAAGATCCCAGATGCACACGAAACAATATAGACATAAAACAAGATAAAATGCTAATCCCTCACACGAGGATATACCGAAGAACAAAATGCCTCGATACTAAATTAGAGCCTAGGCGAGCAAGCAAAAGACAAGTCTCAACATGATTAACTACTGGAGGATTTTCCTCTAGCAAGAAAGTGGGGGGAAAACACAACCAGATCCTTAAAATGGACGATAAGCACTTAGAACGAAAAGAATGGAATAAGACAAAAGATGTGCATAATCAACGGGAAGGCGATATGGATCGTGATACAGAATAATAGTTACATACATAAGATAATATAAATAGAGATGATCATACAACCACACTGTCATGTACATACTATCAAATAGTACAGATGAGTTACCTACTGTGTGCCCCCGATAACATACACATCGCTTCTATAAAAATAAATAAATAGCAACAATGTTTGCGCCTGACAGCACAACCTAAAGGATTTTCTACAAGCATGAGTGTGCGCAAGACAGCCCGAAACAAAGAAGAATAAGAGCCTAGGAAAGTTTAAAGTAAACCAATTGTAGAAATATCACTGTACACATCACGTCATTGAGCTACCCTGCAAGATATAATCCCACATAGCCAATCTCTCAAATGATTTCAGCACACTCCATGTTCAATGTAAACTCCCCCCCCCCCCCTGCGGACTGTATGGCGCAGGCTAACGAACTGCACCTAAAGAGGGATCAAAATGGAGAATTAAAATATGTAAATAAGGCCCTTTTACCAAAAAAGATGGGCGAAATCATTAACATTCAAGTGCACAGAGTGCGTTCTCAGCATGAAAAATCCGTAGAACTTTTCCAAAACCCTTCTAGGGCCAAAGATGTTGGTCGCGACTCCTGGGGATCATCTTTTCCTCCTGCCTCCCTGCATTGAATGAAAAATTTAACCCCGAATATCAGCAATTAAAATTAGGTGTTTTCTTTTCCACCAATTACTATGATGATCATCAGTCAAACAATCAAAATTGCAACTTAAAAGTTCAACCAGTCATATATAAGAACATTACAAGGGAAATGTGCATGCAAAGCATAAGGAAAAATCATGATTACACCTAAATATACTAGTTAGAATTAAAACGGTCCTAGTGGCTTTCCTTTGGACTACTGAAACATAAACATTATGAACATAATCGAACAGGCCTCATGTTCCAAAGAATTTACAATGTATTTGCTACATCAATGTCTATTTGAGGGAGGAAATATTTTTGTATCTTCAAAAAGAAGCAACCATTCAAACAGTAAATGAGTTCTGAGTAGACATTAAGAGGTGTAACGGACCAATGTTCATTACAGTATACAGTGAATATATATTTCATACACCCATATCGCTATTTGTTGATAGCTCAGTTTATTTGGAAACAAATATGCAACTAGCAAACCTTTTAATGATAATTGTAAATACTAATACAGCAAGCATCATATACAAAGTACTATCAATCTGCATGTAATGTAACATATATGCTCAAGCTCAGATGGGTCATCATCATTATACAGGGTCTTGATGACTATATCAAAGATGGGGTCATGGGGCTCAGTTTGGCACATTTAATAACTGGTAAAATGATCAAAGTGAATATAGCTAATGCATTCACAATAGCACATCAAATTGGCCAAGTTTGAGACTAGAAATCCAGATTCCAATCTATTCAAGGGAATGGAATATAATAACAGATGGCCATGATTTGAAGTTTGACGGGCTTAACATCAACCAAAGAAAATACTCAATGACTTGTTTCACACCCAAGATAGATTGCACCCGAAGCTCTATTGAAAGATAAGGTATATTTTAATCTATAATGAAATTAATTCAAATTGTGATTTGTAATGAAGTCATTGGAATCTATCTTTTATAATTGACAAAAAAAAAAAGAAATTTACCGAGCTTAGATAATCATCCATAGATGATTGCTTTCTCCTCTTGAATGAGGCCTCCGTAGCTGGGGACCTTGGTATTGAGCGTTTTGAAGGGGTTGAATTCTACAGCCAGTAAGAATAAAGTGAGAAAATGTTCATAATAGCAACTGCTTAGATAAAACCTAAAAATATACAAAATCACAGGCATAAGACTCAAGATATAAAGGCAAATAAGTTAAAACGGAAAAAAAGAGCGATAAAAAAATATTAAAATGACTTCAACCAAGGTTTAAGCTTTGACGTACAGGCTGACAAAGATATGTATTCACCATATTTTGCTGATGTTAAGCATGTCGATCCAATCAAAGCCAAACTGATTTATACTCGCCGATATCAGGATATAATGAGTAATTAACGAACAACAACTAATAAAGATTATGATATAAGGTTCTAGGTCCTAAAGTTTGATTTAATAGTGCAATATTCTACAAATCATAATAACGTCAACCCAATAAACCGGAACTGATTGATACTTATCGATATTGACCAACAAGGACCAATACATGTCGATATTATTAACTAATAAAAACAAATACGATTTATCGTCCAAGATTTGAACTTTGACGTACTAAATTTTGATTTGATAGTCCTATGCTGGAGAAGCCATTAAACAGAAAGCCTGTAATTATTCGACTTATTGCATGTGCCGATAATAATGATTTGGAACTGCCAAAATGATTGGAACCCTTGAATCCTTGATACCAATATCCAAATGGACTGCAATTATGACAAATCCGTGATCTCAAACCTTGAATCCAACATAACAGCTTCTGGTATGCCATAGACATATATCTAAACAACGTTCTGTTTTTACTTCCGCAGAAATTTACTCTAGAGATCCATGTTTGAATTATTAATATGGATGCGAAGGTACTGGGCCCTAAAAATTAGCTTAAGTTCAAACTTGCCCCTACAATATGTACATTCGACCTAAGGGGGCCCACTTGTCAGCTTTTGAGAGAGTACTGACTTGGATACCCCAAATATGACACAAAGGGGCTAAACATAGGTAGGACTCACATTATTAAGATTTATACACCAAACATTCATTATAACAAACTAATACCAAAGCTACTTCTAGGAGCCGCCATCCTAAAATCCGGAAAAGGGCCTTAAAATCAAGAAAAACAGGAGCCTACGCCACAAGTTCGACATAGAGGCTTTGTTGTTATTGCTGTTGTTTGTTGAATAGAAAAACTGTAGTATATCCACCCTAACACTACCAATCACAGATCAGGGTGACAGTATGCATCCAAAATATTAAAAAATGAGTATAAAGATTTGGACCTTGGCATGCTTTTTATCCTTCCGAGCTTGTCTCTCTCGCTCATCATATTCTTGATTTTCTTTTTCTACCAACCGAATAAGTGTGTCGCAGCGCCTAGCTAATTCTTGGGTCGTGCGTGACTTCACAAACCAGTCAAAGCGAAACAAAGGTGACATCCGGAAAGCTGCTTTCAACTCATCCCAGTTTCCATAACCCAATTTGTGAACCATGCATAACTGAAAATAGTAATCGACATGTTAACTTTCATCAACAGTAACCAAAAATTAAGAAACTATCATCCGTTACAGTGATTAACATGTAGCAATACCATGAACCGATCACATTCTTCATTGTACAACTTCCCTTTGTTCTGCCCATATTGAATCTTTAACTCTAACCATGGATTCTTGTAGCGATCCAACTTCTTCCCAATTGCTTTCATTATCTCATCTTTACGTGATATCCTTGCCTCTCCTCTTTCAATATTCTTCATTATTCTGTCATATTCTGAAGGCACAATGAGACAAGAGGCAGAAGGGGAGGGCATCAGCCTCAAGAAGATAAATTAGATAAAGTAACCAGTTCAAGTGTTGACTCCAAAAGTATACTTACAGACAACAAGAGAAAGAGTCTCTAGAAACTAGAAAACAGGTTCACTATAAATAGATTAAGGTCCCTGCTTCCATGAAAAGAATGGATTCAGAATTATTTACCATTCAACTCCTTGTATCTTGCTTTGAAAACTTTAGCATATCTTTCAACCTCCTCTTCTGTTTTCCCTTCCATCTCAGAAGCTATACTTTTTATGTCATTACGCCCATACTTCTCACAGGCCCTAATGAATGTATTGAAGTCTCTTCTTGTCCACGATGAGAAACCCTGAAAGGACGGAAAATTATAGGAGTATTGTCAGGAAGTCGAAAATTTTTATTTCTCAAGTTACAATCTCACCTCTTCTAACAACTGTTCTTTTTCTTCTTGCTCCTCCGCAGTCAAGGGATCTCCCAACTCTAAATAAAATTACAGCCATTAGAATGTAAAACAGTAAGATAATAATAAAAACATCTCTGAAATGGGTGAATTACCTTCAGATTCATCGCCTTCAATTGTATCCTTTGATTGATTCTTCTGATGAACTTGCTGAACAAAATAAAAAAATTTAGAAAGAAAATCAAAGTATCCACTGTAAGATCAAATATAATCATCCAAACATAATTTGGAGAACAAAAAGAAGGCAGATCAATAGTTTGAAGAGTGATAGTGCCAATGCAGTTTCACTAAGAACTCGAGAACACAAAGATGAATGCACTGCTATATGAATGCATTTCTCCTAAAATCTAAAATAATTTTTCTTTGCGTGCAAACAAGTTCGGTGAGTTTGATGCTCCTAAAGTGAATTAAGTCAAAAGAGCCTGTAGCTTTGGACAATTGAGTTCAAGCATTCTGATGCTAAAAGAACAAGCAGATAATTGTTTTGTGCACAACAATACCAGTAAACTAAAGCTGCTTCATTATTTATTCATTATGCAGGATTCCTTGTTTTAATTCTTTTGAGGTCATAAAGTTTGATTCTAGGAAGATAGGTACACACCCAATGTACCTAGTTGAAACCTGCTTTTATGGGACAATTCTTATGCTACAATTACTCTTTACAACTTTTATAACTATGAATATAGTAACAATTGAGTTTTTCTTCTACACGAAGGAATACTTCAGTTCGATGAAATTCCAAATTGGTAAAGTGATAATATACAAACAAAAGCACTATCATATCATGAGAAAAGAACTCTTAACATTTCTGTTAACAGAGCATTTTTCATGATCCTTGCAACTTCCAAGAATTGCTCATGATATATGATTATAGTTAATTTGCAACTCCATGGGGGCATGAGGATCAGTTAAGAGTTGCATACAAAGATTTCACTATCAGATTTCTTCAGAACGAAAGAACTACTTAGGCTCAGCTGGACCCCATATTTTTCATGTAACAGGACACCAGCACAGCTGACTCATTTTAGTTCATAAAGAGTCTACGCCCACTACCCATTTTTTCTTTCAACCAGAACTAGTGATACCATCTACTCTGATGCTTCCAATTTGTCACCAAGCGCAGTATTTTTAACAGAAAAGAAGAATCAAGCTTACTGCAACAAGCAACTTCAGGGTAACCAACCAATTTACAGGTTAGAAAAGAAAATCAAGGGCATGGGTGTTCCAAGAAGAAAATGAACAAATCTGACTATGAATAAGATTTCATGCCAATACTTACCATGAGATACCGCACTTCTTTTTCATACAGCTCATTCAATCTCTGGGTGTTAAAAAACTGGAAATCATGCCTGGAAAACGTAGCACAAGTTACCCTCCAATCCATGTTCATCATAACAGTGAAAATATTTAAACAGTAAAGGAAAACTAAAATGGTTTCCAAATAAAAACTTACAAATGAGGCATGCGAGGAATACGTGGCTCCCTTGGCTTCGCTGGACCACCTTGGCGTAATGCTTGCTTAAAATAGTCAGATTCCGAATAACTACCAAGTGAAGCGCAGGAAATAGGTTCAGAAGGGTTATAGAAAACGACCAAGGCAACCAATGGTCACTATTATAGACTTACTTGCGTTTTCGTTCCCTTCTGGGTGGCTCAATCCAATTCTCACTAACAATTTTCTTAAAGTCCACCTTGTTTTCATCCTTTTGTACAAGTCAGAAATAACCAGTCAGCAATAACTATCTAAAATATATGACATTAGTCAAGAGTTAATGTATGCATAATAACACTATTACCTTTTCATCATCAAAATCATATAATTCAGCATCTGAAAAAAAAGGTGTAATATATTATGAAGCTGAAGTTTAGTTTGACCAACAATGAAAGAAAGGAATATACATTAGGAATATACATACTGTCATCCATTTTAAATTTGATGGCATCTTCTGTGAACTTCTTCATTTTTGCATCAAGTTCAGCTGTTGCCTCTTCTCCTTTAGCTATGATACGGTCAATATCTTCATCTGTTATTGTGCTATCCTTGGAACTGAAAACCATTTCAGCACCAAACCTCACCATTTGCAGCAATTCATCTTTATTAACAGCTATATATAAAAGGCATAACCTGAATTAGTATTGAGTAAATTATAGATACACTCCTAGATATTGACTAAATAATACATAGAAAATCATAAAATGCTTACTCTTTTGCTCGGCCAATCTGCCTTGTTGAATAACTAAAGCATCAAGAGCAAGCTTCTTATATGCCCTCTCAATAACTTTTTCCTCAATGGTGTACTGCAGTATCAAGGGGAAAATGATAGTAACATACAAGAGATTAAAATGACAGTAACATACAAGAGATTTCACATAAACATAAGAAGAGTTAATAAACTTCATTTAGTAGAGCTGAACCTCAGTGCAAAACCGGAACACTTGAACTTCTTTCTTTTGACCAATTCTATGTGCACGATCTTGGGCTTGCAGATCAACTTGCGGATTCCTGAGATTAATAACAATAGGACACCATACTTAGAACTGTGCTAAATAGTAAAACGACCAAAAAATACAGAAAAAGTAGCCTACCAATCACTGTCATAAAGAATGACCACATCGGCAGTGGCAAGGTTAATCCCCAGCCCCCCTGCTCTTGTTGAAAGCAAGAAAATGAATTTTTCACTTCCTGGCTGATTGAAAGCTTCAATCGAAGCATCACGATCTTCCCCACCAGTATTCCCATCAATACGGCAATACTTATATCCACGAAACATGAGGTAGTCTTCCAAGATATCCAGCAGTCTGGTCATCTGCGTTGCAGCAATGCTAACTATTGATTAGCAGCGAAACAAAGATAAATAAAAATATTTTTTAAGAACTATATAGAGCAGGAAGAAAACTGGAAAAGTTATGGAAGAAGACTTAGAACAAGTAAAGAAGGGCTCATTTTATACAGAGCAACCAGCTCCCGGTAAAAGATCCTATCTTGATTGTCTCAGTGCACATACAAGTCAAAGAATCCCACAAGTTATTCATTTAGAAAGAAATAAAAGTGAGAGCAATACCTGTGAAAATATTAGAACTCTTGAATCCCTATCTTTAAGCTTTGGAAGCAATTTATCCAGCAGAACCATTTTTCCTGCACAGAGATGGTTGTGGTCAAAATAAGGCTGCAACAAAATCAATATGACATGACATCAACTTAAGTTACCTGCATTTGTAATTAGGTGATCTCCTGTAGTGTATGGTGGACCAGGTTCAGCACCTTGGAACAAATACGGATGATTACAACACTTACGCAGCTGCATGGCAATGTTCAAAAGGCGCTTACGCTCCCCACCAGCATTTACAACTTCCAAATCTTTCTGAAGCAAAGCACGGTAGTACTGCTTCTGCATCTGGGACATTCCTACTTTAAGTATAGTCTCCTTCTTTGGAGGCAGTCCCTTTTCAACATCAGATTTAAGCCTTCGGAGAAGGAACGGGCGAAGCACCTTCAAGATAAGCAAAAGCACATGAGTACTTTGTAGCTGACTTCTTAACATAGAAAACTCGGAATGCATAAAAGGTCTGTGAAGTTCACCTTATGAAGCTGTTGAACAACCTCCTGCTGATCATTCTCTCCAGAAATTTGAAACCATTCATCAAATGTTTCAGCAGAACTGAATATCTCAGGTAGTAAGAAATTGAGAAGAGACCACAATTCATGAAGATTGTTCTGCAAATTACAAGGATTGTCAATTAATGTTTTATTTGCAGGGGAGATGGTTAGCGCTTCTACACTGATTGCCTAATGGGGTAAACTCAGTTGCTGCTGGAGTGAAAAGTTTGTGGAATGAAGGAATGGTATTATTCAAATATTATAATACAGACTATGCAGGTACAAGATGATGTTATTTTCATTTTTGTTGTATGCATTGTATATCAAGATCCATTAGTTTACACCAAATAGAATATCACGTGTAAAGGTACTAATGCTTCTTGAAGTAAAAGAATACACCAGCAGAAACATATTTGCTGAATCTTAACTTCTCACATAAACCAAATGAGAAAAGAAGACATCCAAAAGACACATGCTTGATAAAGAAAATTAATCAGGAAAGTCTCCATGAATTTATGTCAAAGCTGTCACGAAAAATGAAGAATCAGTACAGGTATGGAGTAATTCTGACCACATGATAAAAACAACTTCTTAATAGAGAATCTCGTCCAGCTGTATGACATTGTATAGTATGACTGTATGAAATTATAAAGAATCTCGTCCAAGTATGTCACATTTTGTGGAATGAACAATATTACCTGAAGAGGTGTGCCCGTGATAAGAAGACGATAATTGGTATTGTAGAGTCTCATTGTTTTGGATAGGAGGGAATTCTCATTCTTTATCCGATGGGCCTCATCAATAATTATATAGCGCCAACTAAAGCGCCTTAGTGCAGATTTCTCTTTGATGGCCATTTCAAAACTAGTTACACAAACATCAAACTTTCCAGGAACTAATAAGTTCTCACGTATATGTTGCTGCAAAATAAGTGACACCACATGTCATACAACATTCCTTTTCATCGTCATGAAGAAAATGAGCATAGGTAGGAGAGAAAATTGAACTTACCCTCTCATCAGGGTTCCCTAAAAACTTTATAGCACGTAAAACTGGACAGAAGCGGCGAATCTCATTCATCCAGTTTCCAAGAGTGGATTTAGGTGCAACAACCATGTGAGGCCCAGTAATTCCCCTGAACTCGTGTAAATATCCAAGCAGGGAGATTGTTTGCAAAGTTTTACCAAGACCCTATACAATTATTAGGCAAAGGAAATTCATAAAAGGTTATTGAAAAAAATATGCAGCTGAAAGAACAATTAACCTCACGATTTACCAACTCCTTAACAGGGCTTAAGCAAAACTAGTATAGGACCCTATATAATTTTTAGGCAAAGGAAACCATAAGATGATATTGAAAGATATGCAATGGAAGAAGAAAAAATTAACTAACCTCACAATTTATCAACTCCTTAACAAGCCTTAAGCAAACCAATTAACTAACCTATATTTTACGCATGTACCATGACTTACCATCTCATCAGCAAGAATGCCATTGATGCCATTTTCATATAATCGTATTAACCAATTTAATCCAGCAAGTTGATAGTCTCTCATCTTCCCCTGTATACCTGCAACGTAAGTGTAACATTATCAAGGCGTAATTTTTTTATTTCTCAGCAAAAATAAGAGACCTCTTCTCTACCCACATGAACTGTTCAGATTTTTTTAGTTATGGAAAAATTCGAAGAAACCTTAATTGAACAGTTGTCACCAGTAAGTAGGCATCAAGTAAAATCAATATGCAAAAACTTGGGACAAGAGAATGCAAGTCAAGGCTGCATTTGCCCCAAACATATGAACCTAACAAATTGCTAGATTTTGATTTTTGACATCAATGTTTCATCTGTTTTATGTTTGGATATGATACTCAAAACTAGATAATTTGTCGGTTCAGGGGCAGTATTGATAACCAAAACACTCATAAAAAACCTGCACTGCGTGGCACCTGACCAGCCCACATATATAACACTTGAACCGCATGGAGAAGTGAAAAAAATTGTTCTCGCACACACAAATAAGTTGAACCAATCAGCTACTAGCATTACAGAGTAGCACTTACAAGATGGTTGCAGCAGCAGACGAGTCCCTCCCGTACCAGCCAAACCATCTTCTTCCTCCTTGAGATATTCTTCATCTTCTTCCTCCTCAGTAAGTTTGGATGCATGGCGGCCCCTACGCAAGTGTAAAAAGTTACATACAAACATCACATGAAAACATCTACCCAGATTATAACATGTAACTGTTACTATCAAAACAAATAAGCACCCCTATGAGAGAAACTAAAATGTCATTTTGCATATTCATCTACAGTAATAAACCAAAAAAACATGGGCTCCGTGAGTAAAATACACCCGATTAGGTAGATATATCAAATAAATTCACATTGTAATTGTTAAAACTCAAACATGACCATGCATATCACAACCGTTAAGAAAAACAAAAGGATAAGCATCTGTGGAGAACCATTTCACTTCTTGTAATCTGTATACATAAACATACTTACTTCCCTTTCGACTTCTTTTCTCCACCAGATTGATTGCCTTTTGCAAAATGGGCAAATATCTCAGTTTGTTGAAGTAGGTATTTCAATCTCCCCTTCCCTTTGTTGTTCTGGCAATACCTCACTGGTTAGTTGATCTTGCATATGGATGATAAAATTGAACAATTTACAAAAGTGCGGAATTTCTTTAAAGCTAGAAGGAAGCTAAGATATGCATTTGCTGGTATATGCAATCAAATATCAAGATAGCTACAATTTAGTGATGTGATCCACAAACCATGTCAGCATCAATGGCAGCATTCTGGGCATCCAATATCTCTTGAATCTTCTTTTTCTTCATTCGTTCCATTTCTCTAAGCCTTGACCTTTCCCGTTTTCCAATTTCATTATTTGAAGGACCCTCGGTCTGCAAGAAAATTATAGACACATATTAAACATTCATACATTTTTCATAAGAAAAAATTTCCATCAACATAGGATAGCCCATGATGGCATCAAGAAAAAGGCACAAAATAATTGACCAACGAGACCCATGATTCAGCCCTCAAATGATGATGCTGAGTTCCGTGCTGGGAAATCATGACCCAGTTGAGGGCCTTACCAAAAATTTTAGACAGTCATTAACACACACCTCTGTAAGATTGAACAAGATTCACGTAACTGACCCGATTCATTTGCTGAATTCGTTACTCAGGTAAGATTTGAATAATCCAATTATATTAGGTCAGGTTTGTGCAGCTGCAATATAATCTAAATTACCAAAAAGGGTTTTTTTTTATTGCAAGGAGCTCAAAATAACTTATTATCCTTGTTCCCGAAAACAAAAACAGAAAAAGAAAAAGAAAAATGTTTAATCTTAAACCAAATAAAATGAACAAATAAAATACAAATAGTTTTTTTTCCTCAATAAATTAGTCTTCTCTGAAGCTGTAATCGATCATTTCCTTCTCAAGCAAGATTTTCTTCACAAATGTGAAACTAATGTCTGTAGCACATATAGTTTTCAAATTTGGCACGTGAAACCTAATCTAACTCTAACTTGAATAAATTTCATTCTAGTGCTCGGAAATAATATTCCAAAGCCTTTGTATGCTCTCCGTCGCTTGTGTAAGAAGCGCAAATAGTCCACCATTCATCATACCTTAGAAACTCCCTTGAAAGATTTCTCTTTTCTTCTTTTTTCGACCTAAAGATTCAAAAAATTTCTCATTTCCTTCTTAAAGCCATATTTTCTCCTGAATTTGCTGGAAAAATCTGTAACCCACATATACATCCTTTCCCCATTCCCCATAAATGACACCAAAGAAAACCTAATCTAGCTCCAATTTTATCATGGAGAACTGCAAACAGTTCCGTATTCATCACACCCTTGAAAACACCTTCAGATCATTTGTCAACGTAAAGGATAAAAAAGGTTAAAAACCCTAGGCATTTCAAATCGCTACCGAATCCTTACCTCCTCCTCATCTTCCTCCTCGCCGGCGGCAATATCATCCTCCGTCGACTGCGACACCTCGTCCTCAGCCGCCGTCCTGGCGACGGCCTCGAGCTCCTCCTCGTCCTCCTCCGGCACCTCCTCCTCCGCCTCGTTCTTCCGCAACTCTTCTCCTTCGATGTCGGAGACCGATCTGTCCGAAGAGAACCCCGACGAATCCGAGGGTTTCGCCATTGCCGGCCAAATTAGGGCTTTTTTTTTTGGTTTTGGGGGAAAGAAAGAGCGGGGAAAATTAGTGGGAGAAAAGCAGCCGGGCTTGTTCAGTAATATATCCCATTATCGGTAGTATTTTCAAATTTAACCCTTAACTCTTGAATATTTGCTACCTTACCCCCAATAAACTAATTTCCCCACTTCCACCAAACTAAAGATGTTACGTTCGGAGATCATTTGACTCAATATGGTAGAATTAGAGTTCATTTTGAAAATGTCTAGATTTAGAAACTTAATTGCACTTAAATGCCCTAAAGTTTACCCGATTTTGCAGTTAAGCCACCTCTTCTTCCAAACCAAACAATAAAATACCCTTAAGTACTTATGTTTTATAGGTAAATACCCAAAATCTTAATATATTCATCGTTAGTATCCTCTTGTATACCTAACATTGCATATTAATGCACCAAATTTGATTTTAGTACCCTCTGTTATGCAAGGTAATAAATAATAATAATGTCTAAATTTTTTTTACCTATATACTTTAGATATATTTTTTTTGTTCGATTTGAAACCATGGGATATTTAAATGCAAGGTCTAGAAAACTAGACATCATTTAAGTGCAACTGGAGTATATGTATACGTTAGAGATGAAAATGATCCGATCCATTATTAGGCTTATATATATTGAGCAGCTATATGGAACTTAACCCATCTCAGTAAACTTGGCCCTTTTATAAGCTTAGATCGGGCTTGGGCCTGGCCCATTCCTTGACTACAGGACTATATGCCGTACTTAGGCTAATTGTAACGTTTGTGTTAAAGGGTTTGATCGTTGTGAGGTGGCCACTCATTTTGTAAAATGGGCTACTAAGAGAGTAAAATAATGTTTGGAAGAGCTTATTTTTTTGGTCAAACTAGTTTTCGAGTTAGTTTTTTAATATCTAATCGTTAATTTGGTTAATCACTAATAAGCTGGCTTATGAATTCCATTTTAAAAAGTTGGCATTCCTTAACTTTTGAAAAATTAGCTTGTAAGCTTTTATAAATAAACTAGTTTGACGAAGTATATAACCATTCTACCCGTACAACTTTTTATAAAAAATTTATTATAAAACCCAAAACCAGCATGACTTATAAGTTCTCTAAAAATAAGCCTTCCCTAAACATCCTCTAAGTGGTGAGACCCACTACTTGCAACAATTATGACGGGCATCATCACATGAATCGGTAGCTTATTTTGCAAAATAAGTCACTATCTCATATCTGTTTTCTCCTATTGTTAATACTTTCGTGTTCAATGGAATGACAAAAGACGAAAAACATCGGCTTTTATCTCTATTTTCTCCTATTGTTAATACTTTCGTGTTCAATGGAATGACAAAAGACGAAAAACATTGGCTTTTATCTTAGATTCATCTATCCATCTACTTACTTGTACACACTAAAACAGCTACCACTAGCTGCATCAATATGTCAAGTAGCATACGTTTTAACCTTTGCTTCCTTTTGAAAAAATGTTTGTTTCTCTAAGGGGCTATTTGGTTCACTTTTTAACTCTAGGGAAAAGTTTTACACCGCCTCCATATAGGATTTTTCGTGGCCACGTTGGATATAAGTTTTCCATCGGTTTTTCCCCCTCTTTGGTTTGCTAGTTTTGAAGAAGGGAAACAAGCAAAAAATCACCGCCACATCGGGGTTTTTTTCTCTCCCCCAATTCCTTCCTCAACCTCTCTTTTTCTTTTCGCAGGACACCATTATCTTTGAATCAAACTATCAAAAATTTAATCAATTCGCTACCAACATATATATCACTTTCCATCTCAGAGACGCAAAGGTCAATTTCCCATACGACACTAAAGCATTATTAACAAAGATTCATTTGCTAAAGAACTAAAAATATTAACAGTGGGTCCCACTGGCTAATTAATCAACTTGAACAGACAAGAGAATTTGCTGATTTCCCATTTTGGAAAAGTGATTAGAGAAGTCACAACTGCTATAGCACACAGGAATCATTTAAACTAATCCTATGCGAACAAAAGGAAAAGTGAGAGTTCTTTGTTTGTGTGACAATGTGACATATAAGTCAGGAGAGAAAAGACAGAAAGAGAGATCTAGCATTTTTTTTTCCCTGTGTGTTTATTGGTGCAAAAAGCTAGTTAGGATATGGGGAACTTCATAAGTCCTATTCTCTTCTCAATGATCTTGGTATAATGAATCTTCGCTTTCCTCCTCACCAGTGGAGGTATGCCACGTAGACAAACCATGTAAATTTTAATGTCTACTTAGGGGCTGTTTGGTTGGTTTCCTAGTAAAAACCAAGAATAGGAAATGGGAGCATGGAAATCTCCCATTTTCTATTTTCAACCATTTTCATCCCTAAAACTTACCCCAACATTTAATAAACTATTATTTTATCATCCAACTTATTTAATAAAATATTATTTTATCATCCAACTCATCTAATAAAATATTATTTTTATCATCCAATATCTAATAAAATATTATTTTTATCATCACATCATCCAACTCATCTCATCTCATCCCATCTCATATTTAAAAATCAATCACATCATCCAATAATATTGTGACAACTCATCTCATCTCCTTAAACTTTCATCTCCACCCATTTTCTCCAAAAAAACAAGGAAATTGATTTCCTTAAGTGTGTGTCACATCATCCAATAATATAATGACAACTCATCTCATCTCATCTATTTTCTTATTTTTAAGAATGAACCAAACACAAGAAAAGAACCTATTATAGGAAATAGGTTTCTTATAATACATTTTCTTTTTTTTTAGCCAACCAAATAACCTGAAAATAAGTTTTCTTAAAAAACCACTCACATCATCCAATAATATGACGACAACTCATCTCATCTCATCTCCTATTCTTTAATTTCCTTCTTTTTTTCCAACCAAACAACCTCAAAATAAAATTTCTAAGAAATAGGTTTCCTATTCTTTGATTTCCCTCTTTTTTTAGACAAACAAACAGCCCCTTATGTCTTGCTTTTCTTTTGATATCTCTGCTTAGGGCTGACCATTTGGACCCGGTCAGAATGCTCATAACGGCTAGTTTGTGTTATTTGACCAAAATACCCCAAAACAGTCAAAAAATGGCCGAATCTTGAGGTTATTTTGATCATTTGCCTAGGGGGATACCTCTATAAATAGATGGGATTTTTATTTGTTTTTCTTATCCAAAACTTATCTAGTTCTCTCTAATATATTCTCTAATACTCGTTTTTGCTTTCTAATTCTTCAATCAAATGGCTTCCTCCTCTGATTATGAAGGGCAAATCTCAATTCCCGATATTGAAATGAGTCCTAATACTCCTACTACAGGAGCTATAGCTACTCCTCCTACTCCTACCGATGTTCATCACGACTCCGGTGGCGACGATTCTGCACCAAGAGCTCCTAAAAGGCCGAGATCCGATGTGTGGAACTTTTTTAAGAAGATAGAAGTCATCAGAGATCAACACGGTAGGCTTCTCACCTAGAAGGCTAAGTGTGCGTTGTGCAACCATATTTTTCAAGCTCATCATAAGAGCGACACCAACCACCTCAAACGAAATTTAGAGAAACACAACAAAGGTCAGGCAATGCCTCAAAGGTGATATTCAACAATCTTTACTCTCACAATCCTCATCTTTCGGTAGTCCCGGTAGTTGGAACTATGACGCAGTCCGAGCCAGGAAATGCGTTATCAGATTTATTATTCTTAAAAACATTCCTTTTAAATTAGTAGAAGACGATGAATTTGAAGATATGTTTACAAATGGTTTTTATCCTGCATATAAAAAAAATTCTCGTTAATCTTGTCAACGTGATATTTTAAAATATTATCATGAGGAACAAGCAAAAATAATTTTTTATTTTCAAAGTTTAAACTATAATTTTTTTTAACTTCTGATATTTGGACATCTAGAGCACAAACTGGTTATTTATGTATCACAACATACTGGATTGATGATAATTGGCAAATATTTAAAAGAGATATTTTTTTATTGCATTTGAAGATTCACATAGTGGTATTAATATTACAAATTTAATAATGGAAGAACTTATAAAGTTAGAAATTTTAGAAAAAATATTTTCTCTTTCACTAGATAATGTAAGTAATAATAATATAGTTGTTGACCATATCAAATCATCTTTGCTATTATCATGTCATGATAATATTTTTCATATTAGATGTACGTGTCATATTTTAAATTTAATTATTCAAAGTGTATTTAGTGAAATTAAATTCATGATAGAAAAGGTTAGGACAATAGCCTATGCTCATAATGCTTCTGAATAAAGACTTAAAAGATGGAAATGATTTTGTAAAAGAAAAAATTTTAAACCCAAACTAATTTCAAAAGATGCTGACTATATGTGAAATTTTACCTATGCAATGTTAAATGTAGCAATAAAGTATAAAGAAATTATAAATAATTTTATTGCTTTATATACTTCTAGTTCTAGCTCTTGTAGTATGTATGGAATAACTGAGGATGAATGGACAGTTATATATTATGTAAAAGAAATGTTACAAGTTTTTTATGATGCTACTATGTTATTATCTGTTTGTTATTATCCAACTATTATTCACGCCGCTTTACAAGTTTTAAATATTCAAAAAAATTAATAATTATCGTATGGATAATTATTTTGGGAATATATTTTTCAAATGAAAAATTAATTATTTAATAAGTATTTTAGGTATATTCCTATTATTTTTGGTTTGTGGGTTTTTATTGATCCATGTTTGAAGGATATTGACCTTCGAAGTTTGTTAAATTCTTTGTATGGTAACATGATAATAGACATTGATGATGGTCAAACTATTATTACTCTTACTCATCATAATAATATTAAAATTTATTTTCAAAAATTATATGATGAGTATGCAGCTAGATATGGTGTAAGTACACATCAGTCTATAGCTTCTGCTTCTACGAGTTCAAGTCGGGGCAAATGTATGAGTTTTGATAAGGAATTAATGGTAGCTGAGCTAACTGGTGGATCTGCACTTGGATCATCAACAGAAATTTCTGAAATTGATCAATATTTAACTGCATCTTTAGTAAAAT